AGAGCCGCATGGTCCGTGCGAACTGTAAAATGACGGCCGTAAAGATACGGCCTGAATTGCTGTATAAAAAACACAATCGCCAGCAATTCACGACGTGTGACGCAGTAGCGTTGTTCCGCGGGGGACAGAACCCTGCTACCGTAGGCGACCACCCGTTCGACCCCCCCGACCACCTGGGAGAGCACTCCCCCGATACCCGTGTTACTGGCATCCGTGTCGAGCACAAACGGTTGCGTGAAATCGGGGTAACACAAGGGGGGAGCCTGCACCAAGGCGACACGAAGGGAGCAGAATGCGGCCTCCTCTTCTGGCCCCCAGTGAAACCGCACACCTTTAGCCGTCAAAGCGTGAAGGGGCCTGGCTATGGTGGCAAACTGCTTGACAAAACGACGGTAATAGGAGGCGAATCCTATGAAGCTGCGGACTTCAGTGACAGAGGTTGGCGTTGGCCATGAGCTGACGCAGTGCGTCTTAGCAGGGTCTGTCGAGATCCCTGAACGACTAACGATATGGCCCAAATACCTGACCGATACCCGAAGCAGATAACATTTAGCCGGTTTAAATTTAAGCTTAGCGGAACGCATCCTGAGGAACACCGCTCTCAGTCGCTGGAGGTGCTCCTCAAAAGTCCGGCTGAAAACGATGACATCATCGAGGTAAATCAAACAGGTGTCCCATTGGAGGCCTGACAAAACCAATTCCATGAGCCTCTGGAACGTGGCGGGAGCGGAATGTAAGCCCATGGGCAATCGGTTGAATTCAAATAGGCCTCCCGGTGTCCGGAAAGCGGTTTTTGGTTTCGATTCGTCATCGAGGGGCAATTGCCAAAATCCCGAAAGCAAATCGAGCGTCGAAAAAAACTGTGCTCCCGCCAAGGCATCCAGCGACTCATCCATCCTGGGGAGCGGATACGCATCGACCATTGAGATTTTGTTTAGGCGGCGGAAATCGACACAGAACCGCAAGGACCCGTCCTGTTTTTTAACCAGGACGATAGGAGCACCCCACGGACTGGAAGAGGGCGAAATGATGTCGGCCGCCAACATGTCATTAACCGCCGACTGCACATGCTCCTTCTCGGCTGGACTGAGCCGGAAGGGATTCTGTCGAATAGGGGCCGCGTCCCCAGTAGCTATGTGGTGGCGCAACAGGTCTGTGCAGCCAATATCGTACTTGTGCCTGCTAAACACGTCAGCGAACTCGAGTAGCAAGCCCCTCAATGCACCCAACTGCACACTGGACAAGTTAATAGACCCGGCACACAACGAGTCCAACCACTCTGTCCCCTCCACACTTTGAGGATGCGTATCGGCACTCGAATCCGCGTGAGCAACGAGCTGTTCCTCGACGGGTAGCGGCGCGGCGTGAGCCAGCACCGTTCCCTGCGTAATCACGGCCGGCCGCGACCCCGTATTCAGGACCATAACGAACGGCTCACTGTCCCCCCTCACCATGGTCTGGGCCACCGCTAGGTCGAGGCCCCCTTTAGCTCTGTTAGACGGCCCCAACAGAACTCCCTGTGCCCCCGCATCTACCCCGAGGGGTTTTCTCAACCGAAGGGGTACCAACATTTGCGATCCCGGGGGCACCCGTACAGTCTGAGTTGCCAGCGCCTGCACCGTCGCACAAACCGTGCGTATCTTAGTAGGACTCGTCAAAAACGCAACCCGCCGTCCCGATGGAAGCTCAATGCAGGCCTGATCTATGAGAATTTTGATGGGCATTTTAGACAGAAAGTCCGTACCTAGTAAACAAGGAACGGCCAGCGATGATGATACAAAAATAGGACCCGCCAATTTTATATCGCCAATACAAATAGTCGCCCGAATCTGGCCGATGATTCCCAAGGATCCCCCGTTCGCCGCGTAAAATGGTACGTCCACCGGCAGAAGGGGTCGACATTGGACGGGAAGAATGTTATAAATAAGGTCCGAAATGATAGTAGCCGACGCACCCGTGTCCACAAGCACCCGGACCTCAACCCCGTCAATCAACCCCGTTACCACGGACGACCCGGCCGACGCAGCCACTATCCTGTGGGCCAATTCGGACCATTCGACTGCTTTCGGGCCGTGTACGGACCCCTCTCGCCGAACCGAACCCCCGGTGCCCATACGCGGTCCCCCCACCGCCAAGCGGCGACCCGAACGTGCCGTGTATGTGGACCGAACGTGTGAGGTGCCGCGACTTGCCGGGTTTAGCTGGGATGTCTTGTGGCCCTGGTCGTCGTCCGGACGTGGTCCCGTGTTGCGCTGACGCGGGGCCCGGCACCCGGACGCGACGTGGCCCCGAAGGCCGCAGTTGTAGCAGACGACGAGGGACGTCGTAGGTTTCGGTTGCTCCAGCTTGCGGGATGAACGTGTGGGCGAACGACCTCCCGTTCTCCACTCCCCCGGTCTCGAAACGGCGAAGGCCTCCTCCCGAGCCGCAGCAGGCTGAGGTCCGGTGACCGTGGCGGCCGGTGCCCCGTTCCCCGCCGATGCGCAGACGACCGTCGGCTTGCGCTTGAGGACTTCGTAAGCGTGAATACTTGTGGCAATCCCCAGGGAGCAGATGTCCATTTCGTCCGCCGTATTGATGGGAACTCCCAAGTCGTGGGCCAACGCCAGCAGCTGCTCCGTCACCATGGCGTTCTTCCCCTCCTTGTCCATGCGGGGAAAAGCTGAGTCCGCCAGGGCGAGCAGCGCCGTGCGATAGGCGAGCGTTGTTTCTCCAACCACCTTTCGCCGATCGTAGAAATGGTGGCGACAGGTCGAGGGTGGCCCGAACACCTTAGCCATCAGGTGTAGCGCGGCCTGGAGCGTTGAGCGGGACGACCTCGGGGCAGATGTGAAGGCTGCAAGCGCGTCGTCGTCGAGCATCGCTGGCAGCGCGCGCAGGGCAGTGGTGTCGGACCACCCCGACATTTCTTGATGTGCGAGGAACCTTCGCTGGAAGGCTCCCCAGTCGCCCCCGTCTGCCTTGAACGTCGACAGCGCGGGCAATCGTTGCTGAAGGACTCGGTCGTCGTCGTAACGATTTTCCCGCGCGCCGCTGTGGTTGCAGAAAATGTCGGCTCCTTCTGCAGGCGCATAATGGAGAGCTCCGGCGTGCGCCGATGACGCGGGCTGCGCTGTGTGGAGATCTCTGGCCACGTGGTGTCCGCGCTTCCCGCCAATTGGTGGCGGACCCTCAAAAATGGCGCCAACTTCAAAACTTTTGGCGCGAAGCGCCTTCTGGCGGGATCCCTCCAGCCGCGCTCCCTCCTCCAACCCCGCAGCCGTCCCTCCGCCCGCTGGAACGGAGATTTCCGCCAAAATTGCAGCGGCGGCGAGCAGCAACTCCGCCAGGCGGGAGTGTGCGTCCTGTAGGCTGGTGTCGGAGGCAAGCGGAGCATCGGCCATCGCCGCGAAGTGCTGCATCGGCGGCAACTCCTCGTCCTCTCCTCCCGAGGTTGGTGTCTCCGGTACGCCGTCGTCTCCCCGATCTTGCTCGTGGGTACGGGTAGTCTTCCTTGTGTCCATTCTTCTTGAAGACAGGTTTACTTCTGACGCCAGTTGTAAAGTAGTAACTCGGCGGGAGACGACTTCACGGGTAGCACACTCTTTATTTCACCAACTTATAGTTACACGGGTGACTAACACCCACTCAGTTACTCGGGTGACTAACACCCACTTAGCTACTCGGGTGACTAACACCCACTCAGCTACACGGGTGACTAACACCCACTTAGCTACTCGGGCGACTAACACCCACTTAGCTACTCGGGTGACTAACACCCACTCAGCTACACTGACACGGGCTCTTACGCCCGTAGCCTTCCGGAACACACCCGGCCGGGGTGTCCGTCTCGGCTCTGGGTACCACCGTCCCGACCCACACGGGCGTCGGACTACGGGTCCCACAGTCTCGGCTCCGAGCCACACAGGGCCCCGGGCCTGACAAGGACGGCGGGACTAGGGGTCTCGGGCCACTACCTCCTCCACTCCGTCTTCGGTCTTCAACTGGTTAACAACGACCTCGAGTGCTCTCGCGCGTCCCCCTTTATGCACCTCCTGCGGACGTCGCTGAGAGCACCCATCCTATTTGACCAATCACTGCGTGCTGGCTACGATCCTCTTTTCCCACTTTGTGTCAGCGCGCCTCACCACCGGCGCGCGCGTCCATACCACGCCCACATCGCGTGCCCAACCCCGCGCCCCGTGATCCATCGCTGTCGGCGCACGTCAACACCACCACTACACCTATATAACCTCTTACCACGGCAACTCTCTCTCTCCCACTTCAGAAAAAAAATGTCTTGCTGTGGTTTTCCCACCTGATGATGATTGCTTGTGTTGCAATCAAAACGTCGTGATTTATTTGATTTTATACCTACGTGACTTTACCGAAAGAACCAAAGAGTAAATATTCTCGATGAGTCTGATAATATCTGTAACAGCGGAAAACTACCGGTCTACTGGTTTGCCGCAAGGATGGAAATGCATAGAGCAAGACACATAGCAGATTAACTGGGAAATGTGTTGTATCGGTCAGCATTCTGGTCTTGCAATCTGGAGTTCACTGGTCCGATTCCATCTCCCAGTGCAGCAGTTTAAATATAATTTTCTTAAATCGCACCCTGTAGTCGTTCACCTAGCAGTGTGAATGGGTAAAGCATACAAAGTCTGGGTATGCCCAGCTCTTCTTTCAAGATGCCTGATCAGCGTGGATGAATAGACACAATACCCGCTAGAGATCCCTCGAGTGAGGCCCTTCTGCCAGCAGTGGTGTGAGCAAGCAATTGCAAGGCTGCACATTTTTACCTTTTATCTGAGAATACGAGGGCAAATGTACCCACTCGGTGACCAGCCGGGGCTGCTGTGCTGTTTGTACACCCGCAAGCGCCAATCGGTGCACTCACTGCTAACACTCCACTAGAAATACATTTTCATTAATGACTGTTGGAACCGGTTACCGGTTAATGTTTAAAATAGCCTCGCGACGACTCAACCAGCACGAGTGCAGGCCTGAGCACCTACCTGATTTGCTGGAGTGAATCGACGGCTTCCGCGAAGCAGATGTCACGCAGCTCCGACAGTCTCTGCGGCGACACAATTTGGACACAGCAACCGGCGTCATCGCCACACAGCCCCAACAAGTGTGGTGGCAGCAACCACACAACATGTTGACAGTGATCGGTTGTCATCGTCACACAGCCCGAACAATCATGGTGGCAGCAACCGCAACCACACCACATGTGGACACAGCGACCGGCGTCATTGTCACGCAGCCCAAACCGTGGTGGCAGCAACCCATGCGGCAGCTTCATTGATCATTGTAGCCGTGAATCCCATGACGAAATCATCAATCACCAGCTATGATCAAGCCACTTCTGGATAAATCCCCGTCCATAACGTTGGCATCCCTTACACTCGCATGCTGCTTTAATCTAGCCCGCTGCTGCACCATCTCCATGGCGATTGTCTGTCTGGCGTTCCCTCTATTGGCTGCCATTCCACCAGCAGTGTCGTCGATCAGTTATCTTCCCTTCTAGCGGTGTCCTGCCCAAGTCCACTTAATTTCTCTGATCTACGAGCTCCTCTTGGGTCTCTTAATGTAAATGCAACCGTGCTTCGATTAGTACTTTTCAACGTTTGTTGTATTGTCTTCGCCAGTGTCAGTTCATTTGTTCACCAAACAAAGAAAAATGTATGTCATAAGGATGCAGACATACAACACAATCATGTCTCTTTAATTTTCGATTTAAAGCTTTCGTGACTGCAGGGATTCATCTTCTTGGTTCTTTCGGTAAAGTCACATAGAAGGGAAATAATAAAAGAATAAAAATAAAATAATTCTCATGACGTTTCGGCCACAACGCAAGCAGCCGTCCTCAGGTGAAGAACAGGTCTGTCGGAAAGACAGCGTCTGAATGAACACAACCAGGCTTGGCAGCGTATATTTAAGCTGGGTTGGAGGGGGAAGAGTGCCTTGACAAATGAATTTGCATATCAAGAGGAATTTAGCATATTTATGGGAAATGCAGATATGGGATTAGTCACTACTTGTGGAATGCATAGGAGGTGGGCGGGGGGTTTCAAAGTCATATTATGCCCGTGCATTATACAGGATTAGCAGCATCAAAGGGAGGGAGTAGGGTTAGCATTATAAAGGGAAGGAATGTTAATAGTATGGAGCTGCAGCAGCTAAGCCACCACGTAAAAAAATAAATGTTTTACCTATGTGACTTTACCGAAAAAATAAATGTTTTACCTACGTGACTTTACCGAAAAAAACCTAAGAATAATAACCCTACTCCCTCCATTTGATGCTGCTAATCCTGCATAATGCACGGGCATAATATGACTTTGAAACTCCCCGCCCATCTCCTACGCATTCCACAAGTAGTGACTAATCCCATATCTGCATTTCCCATAAATATGCTAAATTACTCTTGATATGCAAATTCCTTTGTCAAGGCGCTCTTCCCCCTCCAACCCAGCTTAAATATACGCTGCCAAGCGTTGTTGTGCTCATTCAGACGCTGTCTTTCCGACAGACATGTTCTTCACCTGAGGACGGCTGCTTGCGTTGTGGCCGAAACGTCGTGAGAATAATTTTATTATGTTTTATTTTTATTATTTTATTATTTCCCTTCTACGTGACTTTACCGAAAGAACCAAGAAGATGTATCTTTACTTTGGCAATTACCAGAGGCAAATTGGGATCGAAATGATGAAATGTAAGTAAGGCAGAACATGTTGCCATGATTTTGAAAAGCACCAAAATAATGTTTCTAAATAAGAGAGTTATAAATGAGTGCATACTATTTTGGTTTAGAATTTACCACGGTAATTATCCATTAAATTCATGGCCATGGCAAGGAAAAAAATACGATTATTCACGTAAATGTTACGGATGAAGGTGGGACGGTGCGGTACGTCACAGAGATGTCACACTGATTGGTACAGAGAGTGGGCTTGAGTAGAGTGCATGAGAAGGGACAATGGCTGCTGGACAAGACTGGTAATGCAATTGCCGACATAGAAAACCACAGTGGAGATGGAGCGATGGGCTCATGTGAAGATGGTTTGTGACATCGCAGAGCCATGCGGCACAGCGACGGCTTTCATCCAGCAGTGGTGGTGGTGAGGATGATGATAATAAAGACAATAGGTGACTTGTCTCATTCACCCCCGTGATGAATACTCACATGCTGATTGTCTGTGAGCATTGACTCACACAGGGGCCAAAATTTCCTGTAGGAACATAGAAGAGACAATAGAGGTGCACAATGAAGCGATGATAATGCAGAAAGAGACTCAGCAGCAAGGCTTTCTTTGATAAACATCTGTGATAAAATAATAAAACAAATAGTATTTCGACGGACAAAACAACATTGTGGATAATCAATGATTTGTGCATGACATGGCCTTGCGGTAGCACATTTGCCGCTTGTTTCAGAGGTTCGCCATTTGAAACTGGCAGGCCGCCCTTGTTATTATTGCATGTATAGTAACAATAAAATATACTTCACGCAATCTGCTTCACAGCCAATGTTAAAGAAACCATAACTTAATTTGTAAAGAGCAGGCCCATTGGTGTGGTGGTATCATTGGGGTCCAATTTGCCAAATTTGACATATTATCCACAAATTTTCGCAATTGGGATTCCACGTAGCAATCAGTGCCCCCCTTACTGTAGACTAACTCCCACTTGCAGGCCACATGCCGAGTCATCTTGTGTCCTAAGGAGCTGCCGCGTCTGGGGAGAGGGTGCCCTTTCAAATGTCTGAGGAGGGTTAGATGCAAATTTGAAAAAATTAGACTAGGTTCTACCCTTTCTGGCAATAAAAAAGGTGTTATAAATACCTTAAGCAAGGAATCAAGTCTGCATTAATCACAAGTACTTGTGGTGAACATGCACACAAAAAATGCTTTGATTATAATATACGCATTGTCTTTGAAACCGATTGGCCAACACCAGACAGCCTTCTATATGGCCTAGTCTTACCATTGTCAAACCACAGAATGCCAAAAGGCAAACGGTACAAAGACAATGAACGTTATCACTGCATTTATAGCTTGGGGTGAGCAGCTATATCATGGGATCTTTTTATACTGCCAAAAAAAGTCCCATGATATAGATGCAAGTTACTCGTCAAGCGCAAGGCGCTCCGGGACGGCCCCCCGGTGGTGTAATGGAGGGCACTCTGGGTGTGCATGGGAGCGCCCACGTACTGCTGCACCCCGAGGAAGGAAAGCAGCCCCGTGTCCGACTGCTTGTTAAGTCTCCGCACACGCTCCCAGAAGTCATCGTCGGGCCGCTCGTTGTGCAGCGCATAGAGTGTGAAGAGCGGCGGGTAGAGGCGCGGCAGCAGCAGTGGCAGCACCAGGCCCAGGCTCGTCACCGTCTCCCTGCCGCCAGTAATGCACGCTTTCACTCACGACAACTGCCTCCGTTACTATGTCCTTAGTTTGTTGTCCTTCCCCCCCACCTCCGATTGGCCACGGTTGGCTACGTAAGGTGCAAAGGAAGTTCTACATACATACATAGATATGTCACTCACCTGGCCAAGGCATTGAAGCAGCTTGGTTTTATTTTACACCCCCAAAGCCACTTTAAACTCTGAATAATAAATACTGCTGCTATTCAAAGCACACATTCAGCTGAAGTTGGAATCCTGCCATCACATTTGGAATGAAGCACCCAGGCTCCCAACCTCACTGCACTCGATAAAATTCAATGTAGGGCAGTCAGAGTGATTGATGATCCAGCACTCCCCGATTCAATCCAATCACGCGCTCATCGGCAGTCAACTCTCCTTTTCAATTTTCTATTGCTACCACCATGGTTACTGTTTCCATGAACTTTACTAATTGATTCCTCCACCCATGTCAAAGACTTGGTCTACCAGATTCACTGTTACACCTCATCTATACTGTGTTCAACCACCACACTCCAGGTCACAACAACAAACTTGTCCACTCACCCACCCACTCAGTCAACCATCTATAGGTCACCCCCGACTTAAGACAGCTAGACTTGCGACTCCCCGCATTTATGACCTTTCTTATAGTCGATTTAAAGCTTTCGTGACTGCAGGGATTCATCTTCTTGGTTCTTTCGGTAAAGTCACGTAGAAGGGAAGTAATAAAATAATAAAAATATATCATTAACATTCCTTTCCTTTGTTACTGCTAATCCCTGCACCCCCCCTTGGTGCTGTTAATCCTGCATAATGCATGGGCATAATATGACTTTGAAACCCCCCCGCCCACCTCCTACGCATTTTCCATGTATATGCTAAATTCCTCTTCATATGCACATTCTTTTGTTAAGGCGCTCTTTCTTCCACCTCCAACGCAGCTTATATATAAGCTCCTAGCTTGGCATTGTCTCATTCTTCACCTGAGGACGGCTGCTTGCGTTGTGGCCGAAACGTCATGAGAAATTGTTTTGTTGTGTTTTATTTTTATTATTTTATTACTTCCCTTCTACGTGACTTTACCGAAAGAACCAAGAAGATTTCTTATAGTCAGTAAGACTCCCACAAAACGACCAAAACTTGTATCCACGACCGCCTAACGACTGCTACCGACACTGAGTCGATTGTCGACGAGTCTGCACTTGACATGTGCAGACTCATTGCCTGATGGCGCTGCTTTGCTCTGCTGCCGTATGCGTTATGCACAGTATAGCCTGACAGTTCTCATCTACGCCTAGAGCGAATGCAGCATCTCTTTTGCAAATTTTCTTAAACTTGTTTATTTTTTTCGCCTTTCGCTATGTCTGAGAAGAGGAAATGTGATGCACATGCAGAAAGGTACTTAAGTATATTCAAACGTATTTGTTTTTACGAAAGAAATGTTTGTAAAAGTTAAGTTATTCTTTGGTTCTTTCGGTAAAATCACGTATAAAGATAAAATAATAAATTAAATAATAGCATACGACGTTTCGATTGCAACACAAGCAATCATCATCAGGTATAATGAAATAGCGACATAAAATCTAACCAGAAAACTATAGACAGACATATAAGCAGACAGATATCACCAAGATACATAGAGCGAGCAACACAGGTACAGAGAGGGGTGATCGTCTCTGTGGGGTGGCCTTAAATAGACAGAGGGGGGCGGAGGCAGCGAGAGGGAGGGGTTAGAGACAAAATTTACATGTCAATGAGTACGAAGAGACGCGTAGAGAAGTACGCAGGCTTAGAGGGAGAAAGAAACACACTAAAATTAAATAACCTAGCAAAGTATCGAAATGTTATGTAAAACGACACAGAGAGTCGGTCAACACACAATTAACGCATAGCCTGGTCGATTACGTATTTCAAAGATTGCTAAGTTAGAATTTAAGTGTGAAAATTCCAAAGAAAGACAAAACATAAAAACAAGAGGAACGGAAACACACAGACAGAGCAGAACCTAAGAACGACAAAAAACGAGTGTAGACAGAAAAAATGTATTCTATAATATGTATTATTCTATAATACATAGTGTTATATTAAAATGTATAAGGTTTATAGCAATACAGTATATAATTTAATGTTGGGTTTGTCTATGGCAGTATATAGTATGGTGTAGACTCGTGTGATGTAATAGAACAAAGTTTAGATGGAAGCATATTATATAATTTTTACGACATAGAATTGTAATGTATTACTTACTGTTAGTAACTCAGCTTATTGTAGAGTATAGTAAGTATACTGATGATGCTATGTAGTTTATACTTTAGTTGTTTATGTAGTTCATACTTTAGTTTTTACGTGGTTGTTTAGCAACTGCAGCTACATACTATTAACATTCCTTTCCTTTGTTAATGCTACCCCCCTTCCCCCTCCCTTTGATGCTGCTAATCCTGCATAATGCACGGGCATAATATTAATTTGAAACCCCCCCGCCCACCTCCTACGCATTTTCCATATGATAAATTCCTCTTGATATGCAAATTATTTTGTCTAGGCGCTCTTCTTCTCACCTCCCCCCCTCCAACCCAGTTTAAATATACGCTCCAAGCTTGGTGGTGTTTCATTCTTCACCTGAGGACAGCTGCTTGCGTTGTGGCCAAAACGTCGTGAGAATTATTTTATTATGTTTTATTTTTATTATTTTATTACTTCCCTTCTACGTGACTTTACCGAAAGAACCAAGAAGATGAATCCCTGCAGTCACGAAAGCTTTAAATCGAAATTTAAGTGGCGGTGGCATCATCATAGCTCTTGTGCTAGGCTAGGTGCACTTTGAGGCCACGTGAAGTATCGAAGGCTTGCTGGCAGTAGGTCACAGAAGAGACCCAGCAGGTGCCATGGGTTGACTGACTCAGTTGACTGACAGATGCACCAGCACCAACTCTGGTCTCCACTGTGTCAACGTTCTGTGTTTTAGCTGCATGGTGTTCTGCTTGTTGTTGTGAGAGTCACTCCTTTGCCCTCCGTTGTTACTGGAGGGAGACTGCCTCCAATTCTCCAGCAGCGTCCTTCACGAACCTCCTCCACAAAGGCATATCTTGATACTGCTGGTATCAGTCATTGGCAAATCCAATCAGCTCCACATCCTCCTCCACCGCACCAGTCCATCTCTTCTCCAGCCTATGCCATGCCTGTTTAGCCCCCTCTATCCAGCCACACAGAAGCTGCTTGGGCATGCTATGGCTGGATATGCAAGCTGCATGACCCAGCCAACGCAGCCTCGCTTATCAGAGCTCACTGATGTGCATGTGTCCAGATCTTATAAGGATCTACGGTCTCCTCACCACAATCCAGGGCACAACAACACACTCAGTCACTCACCCACTGAGTCACCAATACATCTACTCACCCACCCCCGACTAACAAACTCACTCACTCACCACACTGCAGGTGACACTTATCGATTACAACTTTAACAGTGTTGTTTGCTGATGACCACTTGACGTTGTGGGCAATTGGGCCTGTGCTCAACTGTAATGTGAAGAAAAACATCGTGCAATAATGACTGTCATTTGACGAGAATAATAGCAACGGTTTTCCATACGGTGGGATTCTTACCCTGCCTCCTCCACACAGGTTGCCAATGCGGGCTCAGGGTTCGCTGATTCATCCTGGGGAGGCCTCAGGCATTGTCCCTCCTCTGGCAGCCCAGGAAACAGGAACCTGCATGACCGCAGCGACCACAAAGAACTGAACAGAGGCAGTGTGCAGTCGCAGCACATGCTGAGAGTGGTACAAGTGGTGTTGGATCACTCATCTCCATAGCCATATGATAGATCAATTATTTATTTGGGCAAGGCCAATGACCTGGCCAAATACATGTCGTGTCACTGTCCACCATCTGGCAGCCAAAAAACTAAATTGTTACACACACAAGCATTTAACAACACGCAAATTGTATCCGTCGCGACTTAAGCCGTTTGTTCATCCCCGTCACGTCGTCTCATCTCCAATTTCCGCGGGCCGAGGGTCGGGTGTGCCGGGCGAGCTGGGGGGCACGCCTGTAAAGGTGGTCTCTCAGAGTGGCTCTGTGGTCCCGCCCACAGGATCGATGCTCGTGAAACCCCCGGCGCTGCCGGATTCTGCTCCCCTGGACGCCCCGCTGAGTGCGGAGCAGCTGGCAACTGATCGCCCCCCGTCGACACTGCCACCCGTGACGGAGCGGCCGCACTCGCCCGCCAGCACTGACATTCCCCCCGGACCTTCCAGTTAGCTTAGGCCCACCACGCCTGGTGGTCCGGCCACTTCAAAAACCGCACGCTTTAAATTACTCTTTCACACGTTGCATGTTGTCACTCTGGTTGTTTATTGTTCGGTGCGTGCGTGATTTTACAGGGGTGCATCAGAGGTGGAGAGGGTCCTGTGAGCTAACTAGTTCATACATGTTTGTTGTGTTTTTTTTTCTCTCTGATGTGTGATGTCTGTCTGCTTGTATGTCTGTCTATAGTTTTCTAGTTAGATTTTTGTTGCTATTTCTTTTATGCCTGATGATGATTGCTTGTGTTGCAATCGAAACGTCGTAATTTGCTATTATTGTAATTTATTATTTTATCTTTAGACGTGACTTAACCGAAAGAACCAAAGAATAGTACCAGAGTGTTAGCGAGAATAGGACGGTGGTCACCACCTTATGTGTAGGGTGTGTTGCAATTGTGTTGTAGTTATATAAATAAGTGTTGTCTCCACACAAGTGTGTGCGCCTCTGTCGAACCATTACACATAGATGCCCTACAGATGTCCTTTAGCGCAACTCCAACACTAATGTACCAATTTTTCGATTTAAAGCGTTTGTGACTGCAGGGATTCATCTTCTTGGTTCTTTCAGACTGTCTACTCGACAGACCTGCTCTCCACCTGAGGACGGCTGCTTGCGTTGTGGCCGAAACGTCGTGAGAATTATTTTATTATGTTTTATTTTTATTATTCTATTATTTCCATTCTACGTGACTTTACCGAAAGAACCAAGAAGACTAATGTGAACAACGCTCCCTTCCGAGGCTCACGTGAAGCTGCGACAAGTGAAGAGGGGCTCCCCTACCGTACGATGCCGAAGATGCGCTGCGCGTAGGAGCGCACCTCCTCCACGGCCTGGGGCAGCAGCCGCTTGTTGGCACCCACGCCCACGTAAGTGGCACGGTAAACGGTCACCAGCGTGGCCACCAGACGGCCCAAAGGGTGCACGACGGTGTCACACGCCTGCTCACCGCACACACACACCCCGGCACAGTCATCAGCGACAACATTTGTGAGGAAGTCGACAGTGGTAGTCCCGTGGACTTACTTGCCCCTTGCCATAGGAATGAGGAATTTTCACCACTGGCTCAGGGGTGTAAATGAGAGATGAGTACCAATGCATAAATAACTAATTTGAGCAGGAAATCATTTAAACCTCAACACAGAAAAATCTTGACTTAAAGCTTTCATGACTGCAGGAATTCATATTCTTGGGTCTTTCGGTAAAGTCACGTAGATAGGTTAAAAGAAAAATAACAAAACATAACAAAAAAACATCTGAGGACCCAATCAAAACCATCACCTTGCCATACATAGCAGAGGTCACTAAAAAACTTTCCAAAATCATGAGCAAACACAAGATCCAGGTTCGATTCAACACGGTACATAAAATTCGTGATCTGATCCCATCTGTGAAGGATGTGATCCCTGACATGCAATACCCCGGCGTCTACAAACTAAGCTGTGTCTGTGGCAGTAGTTACATTGGGGAAACTAAGCGACATGTCTCGGACCATGTTCGTGAACATAAGGCAGATCCTGACACACGGTAGGACCAATACCTCGGCCATGGGTGATCATTGTTTTAATGCGGTAGGCTCACACGAAATTGATTTCTCTGGCTATCAACAGAGATTCGTTCATGAAGCCATCCATTTTTATAGACAGACACAATTTCAACCGAGAAGATGGGTACAAACTGAGCAACCATTGGAAGGACCTTATCAACCAGTTTAAGTCATAATTGGCTATGATGTTCCCATCCTACCACCTTCCGATGTTAATTGTACTTTACGCCCATTTCAAACTTGCGCTTTCACCGGGTTCACATGAGCACAGCCACTTCGCGTGCCGACCTCTTAACATGCAAATTTTCACCTGGCAGCCCTTTGATTGGTGGAAAACCAACCACCGTCGGATTGGCTGCCCACCACTTACATTATCATTGGCTGCTGACATTTGGGCTATCCCCATTTCTAACCCTTATAAACACTTTGCCTTGGAAGCTAACCACCCTTTTCCTGAAGACGACCGCTTGTGTTGCGATCGAAACGTTATAGTTTTTTGTTATTTTTGGTTATTTTCCTTTGAACCTATCTACATGAATTTACCGAAAGAACCAAGAATATCTCAACATGGAAGTATTCACCTGTCAATATTATGGTTCATAATTTATTATTGACCACATACCGATCTGGCCAAATTTATTGTGAAACCCTACTCCACCTGACACTGTCAAGCAAATTATACATACGTGTAAAAGTGTTTAGATATGATAATAATAAACAGCGTGCGAGCGTGTGGTTCTCTCTCTCTAATAGTTCAATTTATAACGTGCGCAAATTTGCGGACGTAGTGGCCGCAACTACCATGTAACGGAACGTCTCGGAGAGCAGAACCCTCACAGGGCGCAGGGAACTGGGTTAAAAATGGGCATCAGGTCTGTCAGTAGTGGGGAGATGATTTGTAAGCTAGTCGTTTGTCGACATTTTTTTCAAAATTTCTGCATGAGGAAACTCGTGTTTAAACAACCCATCAGGCTAAATGGCCTTCTGGGAGTGAATAATTTCAGCATTGCTTGAATACCAGCAATCTGTGGACTGGTTTCAACACAAAGCGTCTCATCACCAGTCGGGCTTGATTGAGCCAATGATGATTTCTAGGTAAGGACGTCGACCCCAAACTATATACAGGTTTCCATCGCTTGATGCAGGTTCGGTTTGTGCGATTTTGTGTATATGCGGCTAAATTATTTCGACCCAAAATTCGCTTTTTGCTATGGGACAACATCGTGTGTACTGTATGTACTGTATGTGCCACTCGAAGGCAGCTAACGTCTAATGCAGTTTCGCTTTGCGCGTTCTTTTGCTTGGAACACATACATTGAGGGAAACCTGTATTATTATAAATACAATTATATTGTAATTATTATGATTATAGCCTAGTTATAATGCTCTGTCATAGGTATTATGAGGAATTAACAATAACTGGATCAGCAGCAGCACCTAAAAGTAACAAGCAGCTGATATAGGCCACAGCTGGGCGTGACGCTGATTTCTAGGACAGAATTTTTGACACACAGATTTCACGAGGGGAGGAAAAGCACAAATATGGGGGAACAACAGCCAGAACTGATATTTTGACAACTCTATTGAAGGGCGTGTCATTGTTTATAGCCGTGGGAGTAAAACGGAGTACCCAGCAAATACCCACGCTTGCAAGGGGGGGGAGTGTAACACTCAATCTATTTACACATGGAAATTAATCCCCTTGCTGTACTGCCATCATACCTTGGCACACCAGGAGTTGGCAATGTCCACAGGCAGGAAGAAAGTTTCACTAACGTACGAACGTGTGTGTGTGATCCATCAACCCTTGCTGCCTCCACAGTGCAGCATTACAGGTCGTGTACAGCACAGCCAGCAGCGCACACAAGTGCAGAAGTACTCACCGATATGAACGTGGAGCTGTATGCATACCTTCGTGAGGTAGGTCTTGACCTGCTCATAGCCTCGGTTGTCCAGATGCTCCACGTTGTACAGCGGGATTATTTCAAGGCTTTCCATGGTCAAGGTCTGAGCATTACTCATCACTTCTGACCTGCAGAAAAATGACAAAGATAATGCGGTAAAAAACTCTGATTACCGTAGGATCTACATAGACGTGACTGTGCCAATGTATGTGTAGTAACGCACTAAGAGACACTAGGAGTAGGAGGCACTCGATTTATTATCAGCCTTCACAACTCACAAGAGGTAACTTTAACTCTCAGTCAGGACAGCTGGCAGACTGCCTGACTGACGATGCCGAGAAGGTAAAGACGTAGATGGCGACGAAGACTCCAGCAGCATGAAGGGATCCCACTCCAAGCAACAGCCCCGAGCCTTTGCTCGGGGTCCCCTTTTATCCTCCTAGAGTGGCCTCGCTCCGCCCCGGCCACGCCCCCCTTCTATAACCTACTCGCAGGTTAACAGAATTACCTCACGTGCCCCCCTCTATTACCTTTCCCCTACATCCCTCTCTGACTTATCACGTGACCTGCTGACAGACAGGGCTGCTGCAACTGCAGACCCCCTTCTCTGCCAGCAACCCATGCTATGCTACATAGTGACCCATTCCATCTTACTACGTTTGTATACATACTGTAGCGATATGGATGTTATAAATGTGGAATGACAGTAGAGTCAACCTGCGTTGTGAGTGGACGAGTGGCCACAGGAGGTAATGACAGGGGAGTCAGCCTAGAGTACGAATGGGCTAGTGACCACGAGAGGTAATGACAGGGGTGTCAGCTTGCAGTACAAAGGAACTGGGGGCTACGGGAATGATCGAGAATAGGAGCGTGGGCAGGTGACGTAAGAGGACGGTAGAGTCTGCTGGTGGAGCGAGCGTCTAGAGCCAGCGAGAAAGTTCGGGAATGGGGGTGTGGCCTCGGTCCGTAAATAAGGGAGATGCACGGGAGACTCGGGGCTGTTGCAGTGGGATCTCCAGCTGTTCGAGTAAACGTGGTGTCTTCTCAATAAAGAAACCATCTCAAGACAAGTGTGTCAAGTCGTCATTACAAATGTAGAGTATATGTACTGCAGTGAGATGTATGTTAAAGATGTATGGATACGTACTTCAGTGATATGGATGTGTAGTGGGTTCTATTGAGATGCACTCTTGAGTATGGAGGCAACACGTTTTATTCACTAACACAACATACGTAAGTCTACTCTCAACAGGATAACGACTAAGCTACATAACACTCAAGGGAACACGATATAATCCGCCAGGCCAGCTAACACGTTGCCTGGCTCTTGACGACTTCTCTCATGCCCGAAGACTGAGGATCCAAGACTTGGCGGGCGGGCCCCATCTCCCTTCGACAGTACTTCAACGATAGTGACCCTGCCGGTTTCTCCACCCCAGCTTGGCCACGCCCCATTACAGATTCTTCTCGAGGGATTTGGTTGCCCCTCACGTGTCCCTCTCGCCCCCCGTGGGGGGTAGCCCCGTCCACTTCGTCCGATTACGTGTCCTCACGCGCTCTCTCTCACCATTGCCAGGGCCATGCCCCTACAGCACCCCATTCCACTGGGTACTGTGGCTGCCCTCTAGTGACGTCTAGTATGTAACTACATCACCCCCCCTTCGTAAAATACAGTCGTCCCGGCTGTCACTATCGACAAAAAGACAAGAGTGTGCCTCCCAACAACAATTAAGAACAACCGACGAGCGAACAACAATATATAACCACAGTATATATGTAGTGTAGCAGAACGACACGACTGTATTGGCTCGGTATGGGGGCTGTAGGCAGGTGTCACGTGGGTCGTGTCGGGCCGTGACACTCTGCGTGAACCCAACAGGACACGTGACCGGATAAAGGGGGACCAGGCGCCCCAGGGGGGTCACGTAGTTGGGGGCTTGGGCCTTCCCGAAGGATCGGGAAGGGGGGCGTGGCCTGGGGCGGAGCCGGCCACGCCGGAGTGGTTACAAGCGGGGCGTGGACAGAGAGCTGGGCTGGTCTGGGCTGTTCTGCTATGCTGCTGGGTCATCTCTGGGATGAAGCTCTCCGGTCTCCGCTAGTGGACCAGGAATCGTGTTGGGCTGTCCTGGTCCAGTGATGTAGTACCCCCTTAAGTGCTACCTGTTGTGTTAGCTAATAAATAGAGTTGCCTCCAAAGTCCAGTGTGCACCTGAATTTAACCCACTACATATACAATAATCATAAATCCCAAATAACAACCAGAGAAAGTTAGCAATATACAAGGACCGGTTCACCCCCCCCCTCCCACCTCCAGCACGACTCTACGCCCGCATGTGTGGCAACACCCACGAGCACACGAAGAAGCAGGTTAAGCCAATGAATCCCCTGACTCGTGAGTGTGGCAAAAAGCAGGCGGCGTAGGGGAACAGCATGGTGGAGGAAAGTCATGTGAACCGGTTGGTCTTTGAACGAGTCCTTGTCACCGGGCCCCCAAGTGAGGTGGGAAGTGAAGAATGGCCTAATGGATGCGGCCTCTCCCGGGACTCAGTGACGGCAGCAAGACGAGTGGCCAATGTTTGCTCCCCCTTTGGTGGTCCGTCCGTGGCCGGCGCAACCGGCGATGGCAAAGGCATCAGGCGCTTTGATCCTGCGGGTGGAATCACATAACTTCCCTGAGGCACAACCTCAGCGGATGCCCGCCCCAGCTCGTCGGATACACCAGACACTCGACCCTTGAAAAGTTGAGATGAAGGAACCGCGCGAGGTGCAACAAATGGTTTGAGGCGTGACGGGTGTACGAACCAACGCCGACGACCGAACTGAATCTGCACACATTGTGGCCTGTTAGCTGGTATCACATCGACCGAGCCTCGCCATGGTTTATATAACTTGGGGGACGTATCCACCAGTACCTGAGGACAGTGCAGCCAGGCTCTGTCTCCCGGGGTCCACTTCGTCCCCTGCACACGTAGCCCCCTTAACCTCTCGTTTGCCGATTGTCGTAAGGACGAATTCTCTCTGGAAGCTTCCTGTGCTTCCGACACACGCTGAAGGTTAAGGTGCATCGGGTCAGGCATATTAATTTTAGACTAAAACCGTCTTGTGTTAAGTTGAACATCAATTGGAAGATCCTGTTCCCTCCCATACATAAAAAAATGACAAAAAGCCAGTGGAAGCATTAGGAGCTATTCGATAGGCTGTGAGAATCCCTGGGATATGCAAGTCCCAATCGCACTGTAACTTGTCAACCTGCTGACTCAACATAGACATCAGAGTCCTGTTTAGCCGTTCCACCATACCATCAGTCTGGGGGGTGATAGAGTGATGTGTGAACCTTTTTGGTGCCCAACAAATCGCCCAATTCCTTCAAAATTTTTGACGAAATTTTTTTGCTCTGATCAGTTAGAAGGCGCTGCAGAGCCCCCTTATCCAACACATAGCCATTAAAGAATGACTCAGTAATAGCCGTAGCTGACTGGTTCGGAAGTCAACGCAAAACTGCAGACTCCACAGACTGTTCGATGGTGAAATAACGTCAGCGGCCAACATTTCGTCGACCGCCTGACGGACATGGTCCTTTTCTTTAGGACTTAATCTGTAAGGGTTCTGATGGATGGGGGCAGCATCTCCTGTATCGATGTGGTGGCGCAAGAGAGTCGTGCGACCAATGTAGTATTTCCCCTTACTAAAAACGTCCGAAAACTCCCTCAAGAATGAGCGCAATTCGGTTCTCTGAGTGTCTGATAGATCGGGGTTTTCGGAACAGAGAGTGTCTATCCACCTCTCATCGCCCAGCGCACCCTGCTCCAAAGGCCAACGTGACTCCTACCTCACCAATAATATTTTCGCCGAAATTTGTAGCGGACGCATGGGCCAACATAGTCTCTGCCTGTATAATGGACGTGACCAACCCAGTGTTGAGGACCTGAATAAAGGGTTCCTGGTCACGGGACACCACGGTCTGGGCCCCCGCTAGTGTTAACCCCCGACTCGCTTTATTTTAGGATCCCAGTAGGATCCCTTCGACGGTTGCTACACGATCGAGTTGCTTCCGCAGTCGCAGGGGCACCAGCATCTGCGCCCCAGGCAGAATTTTAAGTCTTACTCGCCACAGCCTGGACTGTGGCGTTAGTTGTGCGCAATCGAGTTGGGGAAGAAAGAAAAGCCAATCGGCGGCCCCATGGCAACTCGATGCAGCCCTGATCTATCAGGATTTTCAGGGGCATTTTTCCTAAGAAATCGGTGCCCAGTAGGCAGGGTACGGCCAAGGATTTCTAAACTAGCACCTGCCCGGTCAACTGGATGTCACCGATACATACTGTGTGTATGTATCGGTAATTTGACCGATGATCCCTAGGGATCCCCCGTCCGGGGTGAAATACGGAATGGCAACAGGTTAAAGAACGCAAGAGCGTTTAGGCAAGATGTTAAAAATCAACTCCGAGATAGTAGGGCGCTCTGGTGTCGATGAGCACTCTAACTTCTATCCCTTGTACTGTTCCTACAATCGCCTATGAGTCCGCCGCCGCAGTGCCAACTCCAACCATTGACGAGGCAGATACGGCCAAGTATTTCAAGGCAATGCCGGACGCCCATGCTCTCTGACCCGATCTGAGCCCACACCGCGCGAACCCGCACCGACGTTCGAATTAGATGAATGAGGTGGCGGCAAGGGTCGAGTGTGTGGTGCGTCGTGACCTGTCTGGGGGCCCAGTGGAGTGGAGGACGGCCGGATGGAGGACGACGGTGGTCCAGGGAGTCCTCCTCGAGCAGCGCGGCATCCCTTCGCGATGTGCCCCGGCAGGTCGCAGTCGAAGCAGACGACGGGGTTGCTCCTCGGGCGAGAGAAGGTCCCTTTCCACTGGTCTCGCCCTCCTCGTCGCCCCGCGTCGACTTTCCTCCATCGGTCGTCGTTGCTCGACGTGCATACTTGAGAATCTTCCACATCTTCGGGTGCATCCGGAGCAATGGACTAAGATGTGCTTGGAGGCATCGTGCGATATGAAGAGAAGATAAATTTACGTTCTCTGTAGCTGGCAGGACAACATCAAGTTCTTGAGCCAATGCCAGCAATCGCTCAAGCACTAGTGAGTCTAACCCGCCCTGTTCCATTTTTGGAAACGCCGCCTGTGCCAACGATAGCAAAGTGCTGCGGAACGCGAGAGGCATCTCGGATTCCCCTTGAGTTAGATGGTGGATCAAAAATCGCTGCCATCTGCATGAAGTACCGCGGCAACATGTCCCTGAAGGTGGCTGGGATGGCGTAGAACGCCGCCAAGGCGTCGTCATTGAGTGCGGTGGGGAGCGCATCCACCTCCGTCCAACACGCCAACTCACAGTTCGCCGTGAAGCGCCTTCTGAACGCTTCCCAGTCGCCACCCGATGCCGTAAACTCTTTGAGGAATGGAAATCATCGCCGGAGAGGTGGAACCGCAATCGTCGGTGGTTGTGGAGATTCGGAAATGGCGGGAAAATCTTCCCACCCGACCGCCAAAATGGCGGTGGCGTACGCGGGCTGCTCGTACAAAGATTCCGGTGCGCGGGAAATGGCAGCTGCGGCGTCGACCCTTTTCAGCTCCGGCGCTCCGGTCTCTGGTGGCGGCTCCTTGTGGTCAAGCTCAGAGACCAACACTGCCGTGGCAGCCAGCAGCTCTGCGAGGCGAGTGCGGCATGCCCTGCGGTCTCTCCCCGACGGCGGCGAAGCTACGGCGGGAAACTCTTGCCGCTGCTACGTCGGCAGCACCGCCTCGCTCCCTCTCTCCGGGGCTGCAACAGCATGGGCTGTCTGGGGAATGATCCTCTTTTCATCCTCTTCGTCCAACGATGTGGGTTGTCGTTTATGAGTAAACATTTCCTCCTAGTCTAGAGCTATCACTTAGTCTACCATTTCTGGATATTCTGCTCAGACGGTGTAGACATGGTAAAATAAAACAGTGTTTACCGAAAGAAAACGCATACTGACACCTATCTGAATGCAGAGTCACGCCATCACCCCGCACAGAAATCTGCTCTTATCAAGACGCTCATTCATCGAGCTAAGAAAGTGTCAGATGGTGACAGTCTGAGAAGTGAAATTCAACATGTTAAAGAAGCGCTGGAAATGAACGGTTACAATGATGTACAAATCAACAGGGCATTGAATATCAAAACCAAACCAAATAACAAGAGCATTGAAACTGCCCAAGTAATTAAAACGATCAAAATATCGTACATTGCGGGAGTAACTGATAAACTATCCAGATGTTTAGAAAAACAAAACATCCGAGTCAGATTTGGCACTGTACATAAAATACAGAAATTAATATCTGGTACAAAAGATGTATTACCGAAGCTATCAACAGAAGGTGTGTACAGGATTAACTGCACGTGTGGTAAATGTTATGTTGGGCAAACAGGATGAATGGCCAGCACGAGACTAAAAGAACATTTAAAAAAACCATTAAATTCTCCTAAATACAACTGTCAGCAGTCGCAGAACACGCGTACCAACAAGGACCCTCAATTGATTTTGATAATGTTGAAGTTTTGTGCAAAACTAGCTACTATTGGCCAAGACTAATTAGAGAATCTATCGAAATTGAAATAAATAAAAATAATGTTTACCATTCGGAGAGCCTTAGTGGTGCGTGGAAGAGAATCATCAAATAACACATTATTTAAATGCATGCCTATAAAGGGCAGCATACTTCAATAAGAATTACCATTGGTAGGGCTATTTTTAATAAACACAATAGACAAGAAGGACAAGTTCCAAGGGCTCACATAATGCACATGTATAATGTACGTTGCCTCAGTAATGCCCCCCCCCCCACATTGTGCAAGAGCACAGCTGCATGGTAAACACATCTACGCCTCTATATAAGGAACGAAACAGTAAGACTTCTCCACAAATCTGGTCGTCGCCTGATAAAGCTAGTTGTAATTACTGGCAAAACGTCGTACTCAGATTTAAAATGTTGTGGCTTGGCTCTCCAACACACCGGTATGCTGTACTAGTGACGAATTGGCCACGTTCTGTTAACGTGACAACCCTTACTAGTTGGCTGTGTCGGCTGGTGGAAGGTTTTAACGACACATTTATATATTTATGCGATCTAACCCAAAAACCCCTATTATGGATGATATTGGTCGCGAAAGCCTACGTGTTAAACTGATAAGGATAATAAAGATGTATGGATACGTACTGCAGTGATATGGATGTTAAAGATCTCGCTACGTCATTCTTAGAGAGTTCGGCCATTGTGTGAAGCTGTCATATTGCCAATTACAAAAACGACTCACAAATTTACTTGATTGGCATAGACACGGAAATTGTTGCAGCCTACTGCAAACATGTAACACTCCCTGATCAAGAGTCTTGAGAGGCTTTGCTTTTACAATCTTTGAGCTTGTTTATCAGAATTAGAAATTTTATTTCAACTGAGGTAATCGGATGAGCTACGAAGCTCTTTTCCACAGATGATCAGATATTAAAAGAAAGTCTCCCTTGGTTTCAAGAGCCTGTTACAAGATGGCTCTGCCAAGTTTTCCGTAGGAGGGCGCGATGCTGCTACTGCCGTGTGTGATCCGAGTTAAGTAATTGTCAAGAAAATTTGTCAAGGTTGGGATATTTGGCCAATGCCAGTGCCAGTGTGTGTGTGTGTTCTCAAACTCTTTTGCGTTGGGGAACTCAAACGGCAAAACTACCACACACTCAGTTCTGTTTTGAGCTGGTGGTCTGGATTGGGCCGAGAGCATGTGTACATGCAAGGATGCACACCTCTGTGTGGGTGTTGTTAAATGTTTGATTCCAGCCAGCATTTACGTTTTCTGTTGTGATGCATCTTCTCATCATTCACAGACTTTTAACTGATGTTGCTCCAGTGGGTAACCGAGCGGAAACACTGACTGCACCTGCCATGAGCGCTGTGAGGGCCGTGGCGCCGCCCTGAGGAGAGGGCCACCGCGACGCTGTCCCAAGCGCGGCGAGCTTCCCCGTGGCCCTCGCGGTCGCAGCCCAGCAAGGCCCAGCACTCGGCAAACACACCGCACCATTTGTCCTTCACCGGCACGGCCAGGCCGCCCCACTGCCTGCACACAGCCAACACACCTCGAATGCCATGGATGCTGAACGATAACCAGTGCACCGGTTAGCGGTTCTCAACGCTAGGCTTGTCAAATAATAACCGGTAAACTGGTTAGCGGTTCTGAACGCCAGGTTTGTCAAACAATAACCGACAAATCGGTTAGTGGTTCTAAACACCAGGGTTGTTGAATGATAACCAGTAAACCGGTTAGTGGTTCTGAACAGTAGGGTTATCGAACGGTAAACAGTAAACCGATTAGCGGTTCTGAATTCCAGGGTTGTTGATCAATAACCGGTAAACCAGTTAGCGGTTTTAAAAGTCAGGAACTTGTAACTGTTTTCATTTAAATGTTCGTCATGAGTTTCACGAATTAGCACGAGTGAAATTTGTGAAGCCCTACTCCAGCTGACACAGCCAAGCAAATTACACGTTCACATGTAAAAGTGTTGAGATAGGACGCTTCACTTTAAACTGCGCCAAGCATCTTAAAAAAAAAGTATCTTCAGGATTCTGTCCTAAATATGCTTGGCACAGTCATGCCTGCTTCCTGGATTCTGTCCTGCCAACGTACTGGCGAGTTGAAACTACACTAAAAACTAAACTATTTTTTTTTTATTTTACCAAGTAAGGCCCACTGAGCTATATGGCTCTTTTTCAGAAGTGACCTGATCACAAATGATAACTCAATGAAGCGGCTTATTACCATGTGGAAATTAATAGCAGCCAAATACTCTCCAATTGGTGTGTTCATCGCTTTCTCACGTGACAATTTGATTTGTCTGCTTAAATTTGGCCAGACCATTACGTGACCTAACCCAAACATCTGTTGTGAATCAGGAAATCCCTCTAGACTATATTTTAATGGCCGACACCTCTCACGTTAAACAACTTCAACAGTGGGACAAAAGCAAAAGCAGAACCAGCAGTTACATGGTCATGTAAACGACACGGCCCGCTGCGGCGCGGCGGTGTGCGAGTGTGAATCGTGCGGTGCAAGTGTGGATCGTGCGTGGGTGGAGATGCGGGGGCCCTCACGCACGGTGGAGTGGGCGATGCTCGACCCGGCTCCAGCAGGAAGGCTTTGCGGAAAGTCCCCGCCACACGCAGCTCCCCGCCGCCCCACACGCCGCCAAACGAGCCCTCGATGGCGTCCCCGTTGGGCAGTGTCAGCACGCCCTGCACGGCACCACGGAGGGTAGAGCACACGAATGCCACACGGAGTCGGGAATTGAACCCAGCCGTGCCTTGCTGTGAGATATGAGCGTTGAAATTGCGTCACCCTGCCGTCCATAGGAAGAGTCCTGTGATAAAGTATTATGGTTTTTGTTGTAAGAGTTCTGAATAACATTCCTCCGCAAATTAAGAAAATATATTTACACCCCGTGTTTTTGTTTCATCCTTCTCCCTCAGGGGCAAGAAAGACATCTTACAGTAATGTAAAAGCTACCACTCTCTATTCCCGCAAAGGGAAAACCCATGCCTCATCTATTAGTCATCAGTTCAGGGAAGCATCACTCTCTGGATCCGCAGCCAAACATGAGCACCTTTCCATTGAGGGTGAGGTCGGCTGTGAACTCCCCCTCGTAGCGCGTGTCGTCTTCCGACAGCAAGACACCCTGACCCTGGAGAGGAACGCACGCACACACGCAGACACGCACACACACAGATGTAGGGGACAAAAAGTGGCTCCTCCTCATCGCGTGCAATGTCAGTAACGATAATAACCGTTACATTTACATGGCGTTGCTCAAATGCCTCAGCGACCCAAAAGCACCTTGCATCACATCATACCTCATCTCAAACATTCGAAGAGCACACCCACAGTGGCAGCTCTCCCTGTGTGGCACAAATGCGATTCAACAAGTGGCACGTGAGTGGGCATTGTTCTGCCAGTAAAGGGGCAATGATTTCTGCTACCTGTAATCCCATTTGAGTAATATGCAAGTAATTTTTTTGGAAAATTTGGACAATGATACCGGCACACGCTGCCGCTGGGTCATGTCACCAGCGAACTTTGGATATTTGCGTCCGACCAAAATGCACCTCTCGTATTTCCGTACAAATGAGTGCAAAGAGTTCAATGCAGGTACAACTCACCGCCATCCTGTTGCTGCTGAAGACACACTCGTAGTAAAGTCCGAACTGACTCACTACCACCCCGTTACCATGGCGACAATCGTTCATCCACATGCCCATGTACTTCTCGCCTCTGCAACAAAGAAGGACCGGACGGACTTACTGCAAAGACGCAAAACGAACCACATTGCGCAGTGTTTGCACACGTCGCTTAGAGAATGATAGTGTAATAAACCTTCTTGAGACAGCTTCCGGAATCAGTCCTTTTTATTTTCAACTTCCATAGTTACACTTCACACACACTCCCCGTTGCTGACAGACAACGGAGAAAGGGCAGACTTCCCGCCATGTCCCCACCGCGCACGTGGCACCCAGAGCCCCCATACGCGCGTGACTCCTGCTCTTCTCGTTCCCAAGTCTGCTCCCGACTGCTCTCTCTCTCTCTTAATCCCTTCGTCACGTGGTACCCCCCAGCCAATCCTCCATAGACAGCGTTGACCGTTCCCGATGGTTCCCTGTCAATCCCGGGACCACGCCTCTGATCCGGCTCCCCATTAGCTGAGGCCCCGATTGGCCAGGCCAATCACCCCTGCTAACATGCCGTGATCACGCCGCGGCCATGCTCCCTGGCTCGTCCCTTATTGCTTACAAAGCGGGACCGGCAAGCCAATCCCCACGTGAACCCTCTATGGCTGTTATTACAATAGTATTCGCCGCCCGGTGCATAGTCCATAAACAAAGCACCAAATAATCATCACGGGCATTGTTATGGAGACAAAAAGAAAAAAATAAGCAGACTTTATATCACCTTTACATATCTGTTGAGAAAGCCTACCTGATTAAGACACTATAATCCCTAAATACTCAGTAACAAAACAATAAACAGCTTAGTCACATACAACCCTTTGTCAATAATCCACCACAGAATGGTTGTATGTTAGTTACTGGGGCTGCTTTGAGCATACTTCACCATGCTGGTCAGGGTGGGCTTCCGGAGGTGGTGCTCGGGGAACCGGTTCAGATGTCGCTTGTGCGCACTAAAATGTGGGTCTTGTATTATTGTGCACCTGTGATCGTTGAAATGGACGATATTAGTCGTAAAGCGAACGTACTCTGATAGGGGTAAAACCATCATGGCCAGACACACACACAGATAAAGGGAGATTGACAGGTGGGAATTTACAGATAAAACAGCCATTAGTCAGAATGGTCACTGGAGCTCACTGGTGGTGCGAGATCGAGTAGCGGTGGAGTGAGAGCGTCAGTGATCTGACAAGGTCAATTTAAATTACTGATTCTGGCAAGTCTCAGATTTGTTTTTAAGCGATGGGGCGACCACAAGACCGCAGAGGCCACCGCCTGTCTTATACCTCGTGATGTCGTCGAATACGCCGTAGCCACACTTGCAGTCGTTGGCCCACTGGCCGATGTAGAGGCTGGAGGAGATGGAGGTGTGGGAGCCGCTGCGGAGCACCCCGTGCCCATGCCGAGCTCCGTTACTGAAGACACCTTCGTACACGTCCCCGTTCGCGTACCTACAGAACGTGTACGGGGGGGTGGGGGGGGATGGGTGAGGAGGTGGAGGAGGCGGTCACAGGGCCCAATTGGAGGACAGGATTGCTGCTTGTTGTAGGGGTTCAGAGTTCCAATCTGGCAGGTCGCCCTGCTCATTCCCGCAGGTGTACTACCCACACATTAAGCGTAAAATATCGCGCAAACTCCAGCGAATTGCGCACTGCAATTGGCGGTCGACGTTCCAATCAAACTGCGACCCTCAAGGGAACGGCGCTGCCCCCGTGGTTCATGGATTAAACAAATCACTCGAGACGCCGGTGTACGGCAGCAAGAGTAGTTCATGCAAACGCTGTCGCACTAGGTCACGCGTTTGGCACAACGCTCTTTTGCTGACTATGCACGATGAATTAATTAAATGATCTCTGTTTCACAGTGGATGTTAAAATTAACCGTGACACCATTAGAAACAAGTACACCATTGTGTACTAGCCTCACGGAATAAATTTGCCAAATATGAAACATTACTTGGTTATTACTCGATTAGGAATACACATAATAGCAATAACCACCCTTTATCGGCAGAACCCTGCCTAAATGTAAACTATAACCTATAAAAAAAATTCAGGTAAGGCGCACTAAGCAATATAGCTATTTTTCAGAAGCGAATTGGCCACAAATGATAGTTCAACAAAATGACTCATGACGTGGTCATTTATAGCAGCCAAATACTCTAAACGCACGTTGATTCTAAATGTGGACGGAAAAACCAGAGAACTCAGAGAAAATCCACACTACCACAGAGAGAACATGCAAACTTCAAATATACAGTAGGTGTCAATGTTGGGATTGAACCCACGACCTCCTCATCTTGTGCCGCACAGAGGCGGCTGCGACTGGGGGTGCCCTTTCAAATATGTTGAGATGATGTGATGCGTTGAAAGTCGCTTATGGCGTGTAAAGCGCCGTGAAATGCCACGCAGTGAAGGGCGCTTTAACAAAAACTAATCATTCTCGGGATGACCGGTGCACGCACACGGTGTTAAGAGCACACACACACAGGTGAAAAAGCACGAACGCCCTTATTTTCGGGTACGTGTCTAAGGTTCATAGTTAGATTTTCTTTTTTTACTGCATCTCATTTGCAATTATCATGTTAGATACTGCAGCGGCGTTTTGCAAATTGGCATGGCCACATTAACCTCGCAACCAGAGAGGTTAGATGGATGTTTGTGGGAACCGGAGTTCCACCTATTTTCAACCGTGAAAATAATTCACCTGCAGTGATTTGGCTGTATTCTGCCAAACAACAGTAGAAACTGCAGTTCCACAAAGACATGAATAAAGCTGGCAGGGTGGCACAGTGGTAGCATTCATGACTCACAGCAAGAAGTGCCTGGGTTAAGGTTATTGAAGTTAAAGAAATAGTATACATACTCTATTTAATTCTAGCTGTGCATAAATTATAGTATTTCACCAATGGGGAGCGGTTGGGCCTCTTCCAACCACCTGGCTCCTGGCCACTAGGGGGCGTTTGGGGCACCGTCCCAACCAAGTAACTGGAGATGAGAATTTATTTTTATAATAAAATGTCACAATTCTTTCAACGCGAATTGCGTAACGAAAATTAAATTTTTAGTTGTTCGTATTAGAAACCGCTGCTTGCAACGCCGCGGTCTGATTTGTGCCTCGAGGTCTCGGGGCAGCTGTGAAGGCGTCAGAGTGAGAAATATCCCCCTTCATCGTGGCGATCAGCTTCGCATTTTAGCCACGCCGTTTGAGACCCATTCAGGGCGTTGAAAAAGGCGCCCGTGGTTGCAATGAGACGATGTCACAACGCGAGGTTGCACCGTGCAAATATAGCAGCTCACGGTCTTCACGCTCTAGGAGGAAACAACAGCAATGGCAGCAGGTGCAAGCAAACAAAGAATTAGCAAGGAACTCTGTGGTGTCACTTCTAAATATTCAAATGCAGTAGAACTTGAATGTCAAGCATTGGATTGGGTGGACGTGCTGCGTGGTGCGCGCGCGCGTGGAGGAGGCCGCGATGGCGTGGAGGAGACCACGATGGCGGGGAGGATGCCGTGATACACTCGCACATCATACACTGACTCACTCACACATCATACACTGACTCGCAGATCATACACTCACACAACCACTGACCCATTCACTCAATACACTGACTCATTCACACATCATACACTGGGAGTGTCATGCTGCCAGATATGACTGCAAGTTTGGTCGTACATGTTATGTATATCGTTTATTGTTAAATTTGAATCAAAGTTCCTATGATTACTGTTGTTACATTGTATTTATAGCTTTATTTTGGTGATTTCGAAAACATATGGTTAAGCCATGTTTCTTGCAGAAGTGTGGAGTTGGCCTAATAACTTTAATCTAAATTGTCTTATGGTTCATCATTAGACCTCCTTTGCCAGTACCAAAATATAGTAATAGGGGTTTTCCCTTTTTTTTTTGGCAACAAAACTTAAACCTTTTTGCAAGGATTAATGTCTGCAATGCATATATTATCATAGTGTGTTTTTTGTTTGCATTTTGACTGCAAGTATTGTGGTTAATGCAGACATGAATCCTTGTGGGAGGGTTTCGGTTTTGTTGCCAGGAAAAAGGGGAAAAACCCTATGATTGTCTTATGGTTGTTATTGTTTGACTTGCATCATATTGGGATTTTTGCACACAGCGTTGTAATAGTGTTTTTTTTTCTGGAAGATTTGCTGTTTTTTCCAGGATGTTTCTGTTGCGCGTCGTCGCTTTAAGATGTTCTCTGTTCATATTTTGTTTGTTGCGGTTGCACCCGACTCAAGAGCCGCATGGCTCACAGGGCTACACCTAATAAATGAAACTTGAAACTTGAAAACTTGATTCCTTACTCGTTTGTATGTTCCCCTCCCCTGTTTCGTACAGTGAGAGTATGTTACAGTGCGAGTGTGTGACAATGTTGTGGGGATCGGTAGTGTAGCGGTTAGCACCGTGTGCTATGAACTCAGCAACCCGAGTTCGATTCCCACTCACGGCCAACACCAATGGCGACTATCTGAACCGGTCCTGGGCCTCCCCTAGGTCGACTCCGCCTCAAATGAGTACCTGGTATGGTGTGTAAACATCGCCACTATTGAGTTCACTGGCCACCAGAAGGTATTGTATAAATATTAATTGTACGCTCTGGACAACAATTTACAACCTGGTGCATTCAAGCACTCGGCGACTAGATTGAGATTCACACGGGAGACCGTGTGCCAAAGGCGTGGACATTCATGGGTGTGCGATCTCTAGTGGAGACGGTTGGTGGATCACACACACACTTGCAACATTACGCATAGGCATTGATGTCACTTTGGCTCGTCAAGGTACGGCAGTACAGTATAGCAAGTAGAATAATTTCTATTTTTCGGGGGTTGAGCGTTACTACCCGCCTTGAATGTGTGGGTTTTCTCCCGGTACTCTGTTTTTTTACCAGATACATAAGCACGTATTAATGGAGTTATCCACAGAGCCTAACATAAGGACCCCCTTGCAACCGTGGGTTTTTCTGGGCACCGTTTTTTTCTCACTCGTAACAATCATCTATTCATATAGTTTCCCAAATACAGTCTGTTCTATAATGCAGTGGTAGTTGCGTTCCTGAAGAACACCACGTTGGAAAAATCATGTTAGAGTAAATTATAAATAATATAAAGTAAAGCGGAGTTTGCGATAACACGTGAGATGTGTATGCAGGCTGAAAAAAGACTGAGGTGCGTGGGTAGTATCGAGAAGCATCCAGCAGCATCCCAATGCCTTGTGGGTTGCTATGCCGAGGCAGCCGTACAACCGCTTATTCCTACTCACGCGACGTAGTTCTGTTCACTCAATCGTGTTATATCCAATTCCCATCTGCGTCATAAAAATGCGTTCCCTGATACATTCATAGCGTTTTATCCAATTCGTGTTATGAAAACATGCAGTGTTATAGGAGAACAGACTGTACCCCAATATTTTACCGCAATTATTGGGAGCGCCGATTCTGGCTGCCTTTCCCTGCTTTGTCTGCAATTTCCCACATCTCTGAATCTCGCTCTGCTCTCTCTCGCCGAGAGCAAAATAACTATAAACACCATAGAACTGTAGGCATCAAGTAAGTCCTTACCTTATGGCACCCTGCCCATGCATTCGGGCTGCTTTCCACTGGCCACAATAAACATCATCCTTTCCCAGAAGCTTGTTCGGCACACAGAGCTCTCCGAACCTACCAATTAAAACACACGCGCACACGTTATAACCATGCAGAAACACTCACTGACTTATTCCTTGGCTAAGCTTTCATCACACAAGAGTTCAGTCGTCTTGAGTAGATGCACAAAGCTTGTAAACATGCGAGTGATAGCAGAACACAGGTGGACAAGGGAAGAGTAAACCAGACTTGCGTTTCCTATCGCTTCTTGAGTTCAAGTTTCAAGATTATAATAGTAGTATAGTAGAAGTGATCTGATCTGAGTCCCAGGCTTCCTGCCACTGTAGAGTTATGGCAGCAAGAAGCCTGGGACAATACAGAGAAAAAACGGATGCGAGATAAACAGTGCTGTGCTCAGCCTGGTGAGATAGCGCCGATAGCCAGGGCCGCACTGGGTCCAGGCGTGCGTGCAGTGCAAGAACCCAGGACCTTATGTTAATTTCCTGGCCGTGGCTAACGAATGTCAATGTCGAATTCTATCTCAATTAGTCCTAGGCCTCCTCTAGGTTGACTTGGCCTTAAATGAGTACCTGGCATGGTGTGTAAACACGATCACTGGGTAAGGTGATCAAGTATGGTACTGGCCCGCCAATACCCACCCCCAAGTGCTGTGCTCACCTGCCCCAGGACTGACGGTGACATGCGGGGGGGGTGGTGACCCCGCGTGGTGTGAGAACATTATGGTGATGAGGGATCACATGGTTCACTCACCCATCCTCCAGGCCATTGCGGAATACGCCAACATACACTCGTCCATCCAGCCACTTGAGCACTCCCCTAAAACACAATTATCATAATAATATTTAGTACATTTGGAATTTGCGCAATCGCAAAAGACGGGTGCTGCTCTGTTGAGACCGGACGGTGCTAGTGTACGTCTGTAATCCAGCACACAAATATTGAGAAACTCCCTCCCATGGGCGTTGAGAGACCATACCCTGGCTTGCTCCGAAAAGGTAGTGCACCAAAGCGCGGATTCATATCATCTGTCGCTTCTGTATGGGATAGAGTGTTGCCTCCTCGCAAGTGCAGATTTTTTGTGGGTGCTCTGGGTTCCTCCCACATGTAAACACTCATTCATTGGTTGAAAACATCTAAATAGATAGAGGACTGCAAAGCTTGGGCCACTGCCGGCTCACTGCCTAGCTGCTTTCCAGTTTGTCTGTGGTTCCTCATGTGATTGTGAGATGTGATTTGCATAAACTATACTATATAAAACTACGCGTTATTATTGCGTTTCAGAGAGTCTGTAGTAGTTTTACAGTGGCTATGTGTAATCCCAATTGAGGAATCTTCCGTGTATATTTTTTTAATTTGGCAAATTTGCAACCACGAGGCCACCACGCAATGGCCCACTGTGAAGCAGACCGTGATGGCGGGGGGGGGGAACACGCACCGGCCATGGGGCTTGCCGCACACCCAGGCGCCCTCATAGGTGGCGTGCTTGAGCCGCGCGTCACGGTAGAAGGTGTGCACGGCCGTGCGCGCAACGGGGGGTGGCCCCCCCCACCCGTGGTGGAGGGGGGTGCCCAGGACCAGCGCCGTGCCCCCCTTATGCATCCACCCGTCCGCGTTGGAGAGCGCGCGCTCGATCGTGTCGTTCAGCGCACACAGCCATTCCGTCTTCACTCGCACAAAGACACAAAGACAAAAATCCCTCCTATAGCCTTAACAGACCGTTGCGGGAAAGTGCTGTTAGCGAGCGCCTATGAAGGCCGGCACGGCACACTAGGTTTGAGGCCGGCACGGCACACTAGGTTTGAGGCCGGCATGGCACACTAGGTTTGAGGCCAGCACCACCCTCGGCCACCTTTATCTCCTCAGTGGCGATATTTACACACCGCACTAGGGACTGTTTTGAGGCTGAGTCAACCTACAGGAGGCCCAGGACTGGTTCAGATATTCGTCACTGATGTTGGCTGTGAGTAGGAATCGAACTCAGGTTGCCTGGTTCGTAGCACGGTCGACTAACCACCATTACCCCCACACGCACACAGCCATTGAGCTCCTGCCAGGAAGTAATCTCAGCTGTGTGATACACGCTTTCACTCTCAAACTCACGATATCCCAAACAAATGACGGCTTAAAACAATAACTCAGAGGCGTGGGAAACCACAAAGTGGGAAGGCAGCCAGAATTGGTGCCACCAATTGCCTTAGCACTGTAGCCCAATAAGATATTTGGCAAACTCCATGAATTTGGTCAACTCCATGAATGGGAGTTGGCCAAAAGTGGCAGGAATAGTGAAGGTCAGGTTTTTATGGGCTTCATGAACCACTTTATAGAGTAGAATTATCAACGTTCGTATTGAGAGGCATTGATGAATGGGCTTTGCCGTAAACCGATGGAGCTGTGGTGACTTTGTGTTTAGTTTGTTGTCCTTACCCCATACCTCCGATAGACACGGTTGGCGACGATGAGGTGCGAAAAAAATTCATAATTCACATATACATATGTAATGCGGGCGTAAACGACCTTCCGGGTGTGACGTCACGGGGGGGAGGAGTTACGTCACGTGGGGGTAAGGGTTCAGGTCTTAAAGGGGAGAAACCGGAAGAGAAGGGGAGTGATTGGAGACTGGGCTAGAGTGAGGCCACGCAGGGCGAAGGCTGGGGGAGTGGCGAGATCGCCACACACACAGAGTACGGTCGGCACCGTCGGCCAGCGGTGACCGACCCCGGAGGAACGGAGAGCAGCGGTGAGACTGCAGCGAGAGCAGCCGGGGAGGCTGCACGAAGAGATCAGCAGCGGGACTGCTTCGGAGGAGAGAGACAGCAGCGGTGGGGCTGCGTCGAGGGCAGCCGGAGAGGCTGCACGAAGAGGTCAGCAGCGGGGCTGCTGGGGGACGGAGGAAGGCTACAGCAGCGACAGCGGCGTCGGCCGCGGAGCGGAGGGTCTCTGAGAGAGAGCCGTGGGGGAAAGAGAAGACGAACCCGAATAAAGGACACCAAGCCAGATACCATGGTCGAGTCCTTTATTACACTGGTGTCAGAAGTGTAACGGCATGTCAAAGCAACTAAGAAAAAAGAATATTCTGACGCCATCATCTGCTTCATCATCCGACGACGACGGCCTTCCTCCAGCGATGGACCCAGCTGCGTTGGTGGAGGAGACCCGGGCTGGAGCGAGTGCGGGTCCGGGAGTTCAAGATGTCGCCGCGTTGGCGGGCCCATCAGCACCAACGGACGCGGATTTCCGATGGGCACAGATGGCGGAGCAGCTTGAGACGCTCAAGAATGTATTGGCGCAGTTATGTGCCCTCGTCACGCCGAGGACGGCGTTTGGGAGAGCCGAGGGTGGTCCACAGGCCGCCGCCTTGCCTTCGCCGTCGACGCCATCAGCCACGCGGCACGAAGACGCCATCTTGGGCGTGGCGGGGGAAGAACGGCGGGAAGCCGCCATCTTGCGCTCTCCGCGACGGGAAGCCGCCATTTTGACCACGCCGCGATGCGACGCCATTTTGAACCTGCCACCGGATGAATCATCGCTTGAGGACGGCGCGCCAAGGAGTCGCAGTCGTCATCTTACTACGGTCAAAGAATTCTCCATCGGGGGCGATTGGAGCGCTTTTGCCTGCAGGTTTTTGGCGGCGGTACGCTCTGCAAGGTGGACTGACGCTGAGGCTTTGGAAGTGCTGCCGACTCTTCTGGATGACGAGTCGGTCAGATTCTTTCGTTCTATAACGGCCGAGAAGAAGAAAACATTACGAGGAGTTTTTGACGAAATGGCGGATGCTTACGAGCCACCTGATGATGCTCATCGCCGATTTGCTCAACGACAGCGAGCGCCCGAGGAGTCACCGGTGGCGTTTAGGGGTGCGGTACTGGAGTTGGCTATGGCGCATATCCGGAGACGAAGCCTGACCTGCTCGAGCCTCTCATCTTAGGTAAGATGCTCGAGCTGTCCTGGGATCTGGGGATTCCCATGCCGGTGTGTGGCCACGAGAAGCTGACGTCCCGGGCGGCAGCCAAATGTCTGGACGCCCAGTTTAACCTGCGCCGGTGGAAGCAAGTCGCGGCGTGGACGGGGGGGCCCATTATCGAGGGAGGTGCCGTGGGTTGGGACCCTAAGAAGGCGGTATACGTGCCGGATGAGGGGAGCCCGCAGGAGCTGACGGCCGCCTCGGGTCCATGGTCGGGCCGCGGTAGGCCGGTCCCGCGTGCTGCACCGCCGGCACGGGGCCGTCGGGACGCGGGGCCTGCGCTGCGGCGCAACGACGTTGACTGCTTCCGCTGCGGGCGTAAGGGCCATTACGCCAGGGACTGCTGGGCCCGCATCCCGGGTCCGCCCCAGCAGGAGGCCTCGTCAACGGACGCGCCAAAGAAGGAACCTCCAAGACAGGCAAGTCGGTGCGCACCAGACACCCGGCAAGGCTTTACACCTCACCCATCACCATTGTCGTGCGATCCGGGTGTTGTTACCAACGGGAAGCCATCGACGGGGTCGTGTCGCTCGGTGACGCAGTGGCGTAAATTGGCACGGAGGGTCGTCGCGGCCGCTACTGGTTCGTCCACTGTACCGGGGTCTATACAAGGGGTGGACGTGCGTATTTTGGTTGATCCCGGTGCGTCCGCGACCATTATATCGGATGTCATTTTCCATCTCTTGGGCATCCCACCGGGGGCCGTGCATCCGGTTTACGGGTCGTGCGTCGCTGCGAACGGGGGTAGCATGGGCATTGTGGGCCAGGTGGACGCTAAAATATCTATCGGGGAAGTGTCGGCCTCGGGAATAGTGTTAATTTCAAGATCTCTGGCAGTTCCTTGTTTATTGGGAACTGATTTTCTGGCTAAGATGCCCATTTTGATCAAAATTAATGAGAATTGTATTGAATTGCCGGGTGGCCGTAAAATCTCGTTTCTGCCGTCGCCCTGGGGGCGACCTGCTCCTGCCGCCCAGGTGCAGGCGTTATCCGAAGTATCTGTTGACATTCCACCTGGCTCACAGATGCTTATCCCTTTGCGATATCGGAAGCCGCTGCCTGATCGGCGAGGTGCGGTTGGGGTCTTGTTGTCGCCATCCGCCACCATAACGGCCGGATTGGCGCTGGTTGGGGCGCAGACCATCGTCCGGCCGGACCAACAACCGTTTTTGCAGGTGCTCAATGCGAGTACCGAGCACGTATGTGTTCCGGCTGGTACGGTTGTGGCACATGCCACTACGGCATTTACGGCACAGGATTGCCTGCACAGCCAGGGCGTGGTTGCTGGAGTTTCGGAGCCGGGAGCTTCGGATAATCGCTGGATTGCCGACTTATGTAGGGAAAATTCTTCCCTGTCCGAGGAACAACGTTGTGCGATTCGTAAATTGTTATTGACTTATTCGGATGTGTTTAGCTCCGACGATTTGGATTTGGGACGCACCTCGTTGCTTTACCATCATATTGACACAGGGGACGCTGCCCCTATTCGGTTGAACTCGCACCGGATGAGTCCGGCCGAGCGAGAACACGTTCGGGGGGCAGTGGATGACATGTTGGCTGCGGACATAATATCTCCATCTAACAGCCCATGGGGCGCGCCTGTTGTTTTGGTCAAGAAAAAGGAGGGCAAATTGTGATTTTGTGTTGATTTCCGGAAATTGAATAAAATATCGGTGGCAGATGCGTATCCCCTGCCGCGTATGGACGACTCCCTCGATGCCTTGTCGGGGGCCAAGTTCTTTTCTACACTAGATCTCTCTTCGGGATTCTGGCAGCTTCCCCTTGACGACCCCTCGCGGGAGAAAACCGCATTCCGTACGCCGCAGGGGTTGTTTCAATTTAATTGTCTCCCGATGGGGCTGAATGCGGCCCCTGCCACATTTCAAAGGTTGATGGAGCTGGTATTGACGGGGTTGCAGTGGGAGACATGTCTCATATATTTAGACGATATTATCGTCTTCATCCGCACATTTGATGAACATTTACGGCGGTTGGAGTCGGTGTTCACGAGGATGCGTTCCGTCAATTTGAAATTTAAACCTAAGAAATGTCACCGACTGCAACGGTCCGTCCGTTACTTGGGGCATATCGTGAGTGCTGATGGGGTGGCCACGGATCCGGAAAAAACAGCGTGCGTCCGGGATTGGCCAACCCCGGCCACCGTGGGGGATGTACGTCGCTTTTTGGGATTTGCCTCATATTATCGGAGATTTGTTCCGAATTTTGCGACGATCGCGAGGCCCTTGCACCTCCTTACGGGTAAAGGACGAAAATTTGGTTGGGGACTGCCGGAAGAGGCGGCTTTTCAGGGCCTGCGCGATCTATTGGCAACGGCGCCGACGTTGGATTATCCGGATTTCGATCACCCCTTCATTCTTGATACGGACGCGAGTGACACAGGCATTGGCGCGGTGTTGTCTCAGTCTAAAGGGGGTGTGGAGCGCGTGGTGGCGTACGGTAGCCGGGTTTTGTCTCCCGCGGAAACCCGCTACTGCGTCACTCGCAGGGAACTTTTGGCTGTTGTTTTTTTTCTACGCCAATTTCGACCGTACCTGTACGGTCGTTCGTTTATTGTGCGCACGGATCATGCGGCCTTGCAGTATGCTCTTAAAATGGACCAGCCATCCGGCCAGTTGGCGCGTTGGTTGGACACGCTGCAAGAATTTTCCTTCCAAATTCACCATCGGAAGGGGGTGCGCCATGCGAATGCGGACGCACTTTCAAGATTGTGCCCGGCGAAAGCCACCTAAACTTCCTTATGTGCCGCCGATACAGTCTATTCAGGTGTCTTGAGTTAATGAATTGGTGGCACTGGACATTTTGGGACCCTTCCCACCATCTGCGAGGGGTAATAAATACTTGCTGGTTGGGGTGGAGTACCTCTCCCGTTGGCCGATGGCCTGGCCGTTGCCCGACCAATCGGCCGCGGCTATTACCGACGCCTTTTTATTTGGGTACGTTATGGACAAGGGTGCGCCGGAGAGACTCCTCACGGACCAGGGCCGAAATTTTTCTTCTAAATTGTTGGCGGAAGTATGCGCAGCTCTCGGGACTAAGAAAATACGGACATCTCCATACCATCCGCAAACGGATGGTATGGTCGAACGGCTAAATCGGACCTTGTCCGCCATGTTATGCCACACGGTGAGTGAACAACAATCAGATTGGGATTTGCACATCCCTGGGGTGCTTTCGGCGTACCGGATGACGCCGCATGCGGCTACAGGATATTCGCCGTTTTTCCTGATGTATGGTTGGGAAAATGTGCTGCCGATGGATGTGCAGTTGGGAACCGGTGTGAGGGGACCTGGTAAGCCACTTCCAGATTACATTCGAGACACCGTTCGCCGGGTCACGGAGGCGCGGGAAAGGGCCCGCGTGGCTACGGCCAAACTCAGGCCCGGAACGAGCGGTATGCTCGACGCTCCAAGGGGGAGTGCCCCTGGAAGGTTGGGGACCTGGCCTGGCTCCATTGCCCGCAGGTGCGGCCAGGTACCTCTCCTAAGTTGCATAAACCATGGCAAGGGCCCGTCCGCCTCATCGAGGTTCCCAACCCGCAGTCGGCACGTGTTCGGATTGGATCTCGTCGCTGGTTCGTTCACACGTCGCGCTTGAAGCCATATGTTGCTCCTCTACCTGATGCGTCATGTCCTAATGTTGCCTTGCCGGGGTCTGTTGCTGCCGACTCACCCTTGCCTGCGTCCGTTGATCTTGCAAGAGCGCCTGTCGTGCCTGTTACAGACAGACCGGCCGTGACACCGCAGGTGATGAGGGGCTCTGCTCGGGGGGTGCCTGCCAGGACTGCGGGAACTCCGAGCCCCGCAGCCCTTCCGACCCCGCTGCAAGCACAATCGCGGGACACCTCCGAGGCTGAGCCTTCGGGGACACGGGACCGGGACGTTGGTGGGCCTCCAACAGCGGCAGGAGGATTGCGGCCTGTCGCCCTTAAAACCCCATCACGTTCCCGCTCTGCGGGAGGGCCGCCGACCGTCCGGGACGGGCCGGCGACCCGCACACGTTCTAAATATCTTACGTTTCGTTAATTGTTCATGTTGCGTTATTGTTCTTACTGTTATAATTATTGCATGCTTCGTGTCCTTTAGTGTGTCTGGGTCGGTTTCGCTCGTTAATTGTTCATGTTGTGTTATTGTTCTTACTGTTATATTTATTGCATGCTTCGTGTCCTTTAGTGTGTCTGGGTTGGTTTCGCTCGCATTACTTGTCGGAGTTCTTGTTCAGCCGAGGTCGGCTGGGTTTTCTCTACGGGGGAGGGTGGTGTAATGCGGGCGTAAACGACCTTCCGGATGTGACGTCACGGGGGGGAGGAGTTACGTCACGTGGGGGTAAGGGTTCAGGTCTTAAAGGGGAGAAACCGGGGTCTGTTGCTGCCGACTCACCCTTGCCTGCGTCCGTTGATCTTGCAAGAGCGCCTGTCGTGCCTGTTACAGACAGACCGGCCGTGACACCGCAGGTGACGAGGGGCTCTGCTCGGGGGGTGCCTGCCAGGACTGCGGGAACTCCGAGCCCCGCAGCCCTTCCGACCCCGCTGCAAGCACAATCGCGGGACACCTCCGAGGCTGAGCTTTCGGGGACACGGGACCGGGACGTTGGTGGGCCTCCAACAGCGACAGGAGGATTGCGGCCTGTCGCTCTTAAAACCCCATCACGTTCCCGCTCTGCGGGAGGGCCGCCGACCGTCCGGGACGGGCCGGCGACCCGCACACGTTCTAAATCTCTTACGTTTCGTTAATTGTTCATGTTGCGTTATTGTTCTTACCGTTATAATTATTGCATGCTTCGTGTCCTTTAGTGTGTCTGGGTCGGTTTCGCTCGTTAATTGTTCATGTTGTGTTATTGTTCTTACTGTTATATTTATTGCATGCTTCGTGTCCTTTAGTGTGTCTGGGTTGGTTTCGCTCGCATTACTTGTCGGAGTTCTTGTTCAGCCGAGGTCGGCTGGGTTTTCTCTATGGGGGAGGGTGGTGTAATGCGGGCGTAAACGACCTTCCGGATGTGACGTCACGGGGGGGAGGAGTTACGTCACGTGGGGGTAAGGGTTCAGGTCTTAAAGGGGAGAAACCGGAAGAGAAGGGGAGTGATTGGAGACTGGGCTAGAGTGAGGCCACGCAGGGCGAAGGCTGGGGGAGTGGCGAGATCGCCACACACACAGAGTACGGTCGGCACCGTCGGCCAGCGGTGACCGACCTCGGAGGAATGGAGAGCAGCGGTGAGACTGCAGCGAGAGCAGCCGGGGAGGCTGCACGAAGAGATCAGCAGCGGGACTGCTTCGGAGGAGAGAGACAGCAGCGGTGGGGCTGCGTCGAGGGCAGCCGGAGAGGCTGCACGAAGAGGTCAGCAGCGGGGCTGCTGGGGGACGGAGGAAGGCTACAGCAGCGACAGCGGCGTCGGCCGCGGAGCGGAGGGTCTCTGAGAGAGAGCCGTGTGGGAAAGAGAAGACGAACCCGAATAAAAGACACCAAGCCAGATACCGTGGTCGAGTCCTTTATTACACATACATTTGTGATTGACTGTTTGTGGTCAATGCTTCCCAACCGCCTATGCTGACTGTTGACGTTTGATAACATTTTCACCAATTTCCCCCATTACCTCTACTGGCCTCATCTAGTCACTTTCCTTACCTAAAGTTACATTGGATTTTTTATACATTTGTAATAAAAGACTCCGTAAGGCACAGCTGGTCTCCGCTTGTATTTTAATCAGGTTCTTCTCCGCACCCCATTGGTCTCCTCCATGGACGGACCAGCGTCGTCTCTTGCGCGCCCTGCGCACGCGCTTCCTCCTCAGCTCCTCCACTCGACCTCACACCCCGCTGGTCCTGACAAGGGACCAGCGTCTCCTCTCGCGTGCCCCGCACGCTCCTCTCGCGTGCCCCGCACGCTCCTCTCGCGTGCCCCGCACGCTCCTCTCGCGTGCCCCGCACGCTCCTCTCGCGTGCCCCGCACGCTCCTCTCGCGTGCCCCGCACGCTCCTCTCGCGTGCCCCGCACGCTCCTCTCGCGTGCCCCGAACGCTCCTCTCGCGTGCCCCGCACGCTCCTCTCGCGTGCCCCGCACGCTCCTCTCGCGTGCCCCGAACGCTCCTCTCGCGTGCCCCGAACGCTCCTCTCGCGTGCCCCGCACGCTCCTCTCGCGTGCCCCGCACGCTCCTCTCGCGTGCCCCGCACGCTCCTCTCGCGTGCCCCGCACGCTCCTCTCGCGTGCCCCGCACGCTCCTCTCGCGTGCCACGCACGCTCCTCTCGCGTGCCACGCACGCTCCTCTCGCGTGCCACGCACGCTCCTCTCGCGTGCCCCGCACGCTCCTCTCGCGTGCCCCGCACGCTCCTCTCGCGTGCCCCGCACGCTCCTCTCGCGTGCCACGCACGCTCCTCTCGCGTGCCCCGCACGCTCCTCTCGCGTGCCACGCACGCTCCTCTCGCGTGCCCCGCACGCTCCTCGCGTGCCACGCACGCTCCTCTCGCGTGCCCCGCACGCTCCTCTCGCGTGCCCCGCACGCTCCTCTCGCGTGCCACGCACGCTCCTCTCGCGTGCCCCGCACGCTCCTCTGTCAGCTCCTTCTCGCGCGCGCCCCGCACGCGCTCTCCCGTTAGTCGCTCCGCTCCTCCCCGCTCCGCACACCGCTGGCCGATGGTGTGCCGAAGCCCCATCAGCCACGTGGCTGATGGCACGGTGGCCACCCAACGTGGTCTCGCTTCTTCACTCCATCAACTGGCCTCGATCTCTTCCGGGCTCCCCTCTATAACCTCTCTCCCACGTGACCCCGACTCCTCCCTTCCGGATCGTCAGATCCGGCCTTCCCATACTGCCCTGCTTGCTCCACCTCCATTCACCTCGCTTCCCATTGGAGCCGAGGTGAACGGCGGCCCCTCTCACATGCCCCCATACCGGGCTCCGCCCCCAATACCCCGGGTCGTGTGATTGGGCCAGAGTCCAGCAGCAACCCCATTTACGCTCGCATTACACATTCATAATTGTAAGTGCTATATATTTATATGTCTCCCCACTGAGCCTTATTCACAATGTACCAGATTAATTTATTGTCAAATCTAGTCAACACTCATTCAATTAAAATATGTAAAAAAAATCACGTTCTTAAATTGTTCTTGATGCGTCCCAGGTCGCCGTTGCAAGAGGCGATGCTGCTCCATACGTCTCAACGGGTTCATTCAATCTCTTGGTTATACAAAAGACACAATGAGCAGTGTTTGAGGTAGGGATGATAGCTGTTAATAAACAGCTAAGAGTGCTCCACTTTCAGAAACTGCAAAACTAGCATATGCCTCTCAAGTATAAAAACACGTGGAGGATATAATGGATTTCATGACAGGATGAGGCAGGTAACTTTAGAGAATGTAAATGTGCACTCTCTAGAATGTGGCCCATCTAGCATGAGAGGAAAACCCTCGGGGCCTTACCTTGCCCTTGGCATGTGGTGTGATGAGCAAGAGCTGCTCCTCCGGTGTGATTATCCTCAGCGTGTGTCTACAAAAACAGCAAAGTAGCACTCGTCACTCATGTGTTCTTCACAATCATCGACGGAAAGTTGTGACTGACGCTGTGTGGCATTCCCTCGCTCTCGGAGATGGAGAACGACTCGGAGGCACCAGGATCCACAAGACAAGGGGGGAGGCAGCCGACAGGCGGTGAGCCGGTGCCAAATTTGTTCCCAAGTTCTGCCGTCCTCTACATATTAAGGTGCTAGCGGACAATGAATGACTGTTTTTATACACGTGGGAAGAAAGCGCCCGGAGAAACCCCCACGCGTGCGAGGGGGTAGCACTTTATCCAACACAGATGGAACAAGTGGAAATTAGTCCACACTTTGGTGTGCCGCCATCTCCTGGCAAGCCAGGGTATGTCACCTTAGTGCCAGAGGGAAGGAAGTTTCACAACATGTGTCTGATCCGCAAACCCTCACTTCCCTCCACCATGCTGGATTACAGGCACGTGTAGCCACCACCAGGCCCTGCAGTCTTGGGGCAAGTTTGAAATTAAATCGAACGTTTTGAGTTGATAAGTTCGGCTACTAAAAGCCAAATTTCACGTGAAATACGGTCTCTTCTCCTATAACATGGTGGTTGTTGCGTTCCTGAAGAACACCGCCTCGTGGAAAAATCGCGTAACAATAAAAAACATATCACATAGGGTAAAGCACAGTCCGTGATAACACGTGAGATGCGTACGCAGACTTAATAAAGATGCTACGCCAATGCAGCTGTACAACCGCGCAACATAGTTCTGTTCATACTCTTCGGTAAAGTCACGTAGGCAGAGGGCCCACTGCATTTCTGACCAACACCACCTGGCCAGTGAATTAGAACATGTACACCGGGCCCTTAAGATGAATGGATTTTCGGGCCGTATTATCCGCAAAGCTGTTTCTCCAACCATGGAGAAACAACCCCGAGACTCCGATCAAAACCATCACGTGACCATACATAGCAGGCGTTACCAAAAAGATTTCCAAAATCTTAAACAAACACAAGATCCAGGTCCGAATCAGTACAGTACACAAAATCCGTGATCTAATCCCATCCGTAAAAGATGTCATTCCTGACTTGCAGTACCCTGGAGTCTACAAACTGAGTTGCATTTGTGGTGATTGTTACATTGGGGAAACCAAACGACATGTATCAGACCGTATTCACGAGCACAAGGCTGATTTAAAACAAGGCAAGACGAACTCCTCCGCCGTAGCTGACCATTGCTACAACGCTGTGGGCTCTCATGATATTATTATTTGGTTATTTCGGTTAAGTCACATCTAAAGATAAAATAATAAATTAAATTAAATAATAGCATTATTTAATTAAATTTATTATTTTATCTTTAGACGTGACTTAACCGAAAGAACCAAATAATAATTCCTGCAGTCACGAAAGTTTCTAAAATTAAGATCTCATGATATTGTTTTCTCCGATACCAAAGTACTCTGCAAGCCGTCTGGATACCACCAAAGATTTGTCCATGAAGCCATCCAGATATACAAACATAGATCTAACTTCCAATTTAGCAATCATTGGAAGGATGTTATTAACCAAGTTAAAGCTTAGCTGCCTTATAGTTTATATTCATATGCACATCTCCAGTATTTTACTCCCAGCCCTGCTCACTCCATCACTTGGAAATTTACCATGCAGTGTTTCGAGCCTGCAGAGTTCTCCCCCCCCCCCCCCCCCCCCCAACGTGTCACAGCATTAGGTCGAGCTTTAGGAACATCCTTGCCGCTCTCCTCCAGCCCACGCAGCGCCCCCACACTCACCCTGACCTCTCTTCCCCTCCTCCCTCAGCTATATAATCCCTTGTCAGAGTCATCTCTTTGGCATTCTTCAGCAATTGTTTTCACTGTGGTTGTCCCCGCCTGATGACGGACGCTTGTGTTGCACCAAAAACGTTGTGTTTTGTTATATTTTATTTTTGTTTTCTCTGCCTACGTGACTTTACAGAAAGAGTATGGATCCTTGCAGTCACGAAAACTTAAAGTCTAGAATAGTTCTGTTCACTCGATCACATTATATTCAATTCGCATCCGCGTTATAAAAATGCATTGCCTCATACATTTGTAGTGTCAACGATTCAGAGTCAGAGATTCTAGGAGGCACCTTCGTTATTAACACCTTTCACGATTTCGTCCACATACTCTCCACAATTACTTCACCTAGCCTGTACACAACCCAAACCGTCAACCACTGACGGCGCTGACTGAGATAGCGAACAACTTCCAGCAGCGCAATATCTAGTAAAGACGGCAGCGACGACTGCGACGAGACAACAGCAACGAGACGAGTCCACTCCCAGAACCAGCAGCCCTGAGCTCCCGCTCTCAACTCCTTTTATGCTACCAGCGCGGCCTGGCTGCGCCCTGACCGCGCCTCTCTTCTCGAACCCGCTACCAAGTTCCAGGGACCTCCAGATGGGGTCCTCCGTGACCCTTACCCTCGTTCCCCTGCTCTGCCAACACACCCATGCTCACGCTCACCGGCGTGTGCACTGTCTGTCCACCACAGCTGCCACTGCTGTCCAACAGCCGGCGCTATTACACTACACATTCATCGTGTTATATCCAATTAGCGTTATGAATACATGCAGCGTTATAGGAAAACAGAATATACGATCAAAGTATATACAGAACCACTACGTTACAGCAAACATATCCGTATACATAAAACATGACCATGACATCATAATTACACTGTGGAGACACATCCAACAGACGGACATTAGTATCTTATATTATTATCATTACTCATACTCTTGTTTACCCACGGAAGCCTCACAGAGTCTCAAGACTTTTCTAACAGGGTCCTGTCAAGTTGTTTCTGCTGTGTTTAATCCCATTTGAGAAATTTGCAGGCTTGTTTTTTAGCATTGGTATGTTTTGGCCAATATCAGTGACACTGAATTGTTTTTAGCTATGGGAGGAAACCAGACAACCCAGAAGAAACACATGGAGTACAAACACCATACACTCACTAATATTGACACACACTCACACTGTATCACAGACTCACTCTCAATCAGCGAAACAGGGCAGAGAAAATACAAACGAGTCAGGAATCAAAACGAGGCACTTCTCGCTGTGAGTCACGAATGTTACCACTGCACCACCCTGCCGGCTTAATTCATGTCTTTGTAAACATGGGAGGAACCCGGCAAAACCCACAGAAAAGAGAGAGAGACCTACAAAATCCACACAAAGGGGCCCGAGGTCCGGAATCGAACCCAGGCTACTCACCTCGTGGCGTCTTCGTCAGAGAACGGCTCGGCCCACACGGTGCTGAGCGGGAACACCTGATGGCTGGAGAACTGCAAAGCTCAACACACACACACAGATCCCCTGTGTTGCCTACACAGGCTGTTGGGGCAAGTGTTGTTTTAACACGTAGGCTTTCGCGACCAATATTATTCATAATCAACGTTTTTTGGTTTAGATCACATTATTTATAAATGTGTCGTAACCCTCCACCACCCGACACGGCCAATCAGTAAAAAAGTGTCACGTTAACAAAAGACAAATTAGTTCACTGCTTCAGCCCACCGGTGTGTTGAAGCGCGAAACCACAACATTTACAATTTGAGTACGACGTTTCGCTGGTAATTGCATCCAGCATCATCGGGCAATTCGCCAGAATGGTGAGGCTCTGCTGTGTCTCCCGTTCTTATATAGAGCAGCAGCAGGGTGACATCATCATTAACTCATTAACTCATCAGGTGCAAAGATTTGAGGGGGGAGTTATTGTAATTATATACTAGATTAGTAATCAGGCTATTGTTACGATGCGAGTTGTAGATTAGTAATCATTTAGAATGTGTTTTATTGTGATTATGCTACATTAGTAATCAGTTAGTGTTTGTTTCCCTTATAAGGAATTGTAATGTATCTTATTTAATAATACGCTTCCAGGCCGCACTAAGCCTGTAGCTGTCTGAGCGATTAAAGTTATTTCTGTTTCTCTCAATTTCAATCGATTCTCTAATTAGTCTTTGCCAGTAGTAACTAGTTTTACACAACACTTCAACGTTGTCAAAATCAATTGAGTGTCCCTGTTGGCATGCATGTTCTGCCACTGCCGACAGTTGTGTTTGTGATAATTTAATATTAAATTTAATATTAAACACTTCAACGTTGTCAAAATCAATTGAGTGTCCCTGTTGGCATGCATGTTCTGCCACTGCCGACAGTTGTGTTTGTGATAATTTAATATTAATACCACACTAGGTATTAAATTTAATATTAAATTATCACAAACACAACTGTCGGCAGTGGCAGAACATGCATGCCAACAGGGACACTCAATTGATTTTGAACGGGAGACACAGCAGAACCTCACCATTCTGGCGAATTGCCCGATGATGCTGGATACAATTACCAGCGAAACGTCGTACTCAAATTGTAAATGTTGTGGTTTCGCGCTTCAATACACCGGTGGGCTGAAGCAGTGAACTAATTTGTCTTTTGTTAACGTGACACTTTTTTACTGACTGGCCGTGTCGGGTGGTGGAGGGTTACGACACATTTATAAATAACGTGATCTAAACCCAAAAACGTTGATTATGAACAAGTGTTGTTAGCGAGCACCTCTGAAGGTCGGCCCAGCGCACAAGGGGATAGTGTGGTCAGGAGACGCCTCGTCTCTCCAGTGCTGATGCTTTTCTATACCACACTAGGTAATCATTTTAAGGCCAAGTTGACATCGGGGAGGCCCATTACTCGTTTATAGATCTGCCACTGATGTTAGCTGTGAGCAGGAATCGAACTCAGGTAGCCAGCTATGTAGCACTGTGCGCTATACACTATGCCACCAATACCATGACACACGCAGCATAACAAAAATCGCCGTTTACCACTAAGTGGCGCACGTCGTCACTACGGCGCTTTGTGCCAGGGTAGGTGCACCTTGAGGCCATGATAACCGTGTAAGGCTCACTGGTAGGAGGTCACGGACAGACCCAGGTTTTATGTGTTGCCTGGTTAGGTGTTATATTTGTCGCGAAAGCGTACGTATTAAACGGATTTAGATTATCTTGATTTAAAGCTTCGTGACTGCAGGAATCCGTAATCTTTGGTTCTTTCGGTAAAGTCACGTAGGTATAAAATAAAATAAATCACGACGTTTCAATCGCAACACAAGCGGCTGTCCTCAGGTGGAAAAAATATAATCCAGCAGTGGAACTGCTGAACCAGCGAGAGAGCAGTTACAACAAGGTTATATATGTGGCAATGGGCAAGCAAGCGGGGTCTGAGCTGGAAAGGAATTCCATCCATGGACGCAAGCACGTTAGTTGTGTTAATGCCTATCTAAAGCTTTACTCCCACCACCATCCAGCCCAGAAGAGTTCCCTCATCAAAACACTACACCATAGGGCCCATTGCATCTCCGACCAGCACCACCTAGCTAGTGAGTTGGAACACGTACACCAAGCCCTCAGGATGAACGGATACTCGGACCGTACAATCCGGAAAGCTGCCTCCCCAGCCATGGGGAGACAACCTTCTGAGGATCCAACCAAAACCATCACTTTACCATACATAGCAGGGGTTACCAAAAAGATTTCAAAAATTTTAAACAAACACAAGATCCAGGTTCGTTTCAACACAGTACACAAAATCCGTGATTTAATCCCACCTGTAAAGGATGTGATTCCTGACATGCAATACCCTGGTGTCTACAAACTGAATTGTGGTTGTGGCAGCAGTTACAATGGGGAAAAGAAACGACATGTCTCGGACCGCGTTCGTGAACACAAGGCAGATCTGAAACATGGTAGGACCAATACCTTTGCCGTTGCTGATCATTGTTTTAACGCTGTGGGCGCACACAAAATTTATTTTTCCAAGACGGAGGTACTGTACTCTGCAAACCTACCAGCTACCTTCAGAGATTTGTTCATGAAGCCATCCAGATATATAAACACAAACACAACTTAAACCGAGAAGATGGCTACAAACTGAGCAATCATTGGAAGGACGTTATAACCAGGTAAAGTCTTAAGTGACTGTGATGTTTCCATCCTACCTGCCTATGTCAGCTGTTATTTCCAACTCTATGTCTCTCTCTCTTAGATATCTCACATGTCCTTTGGATTGCACTCATGCTCACATCCTTTGGATTGCACTCTCATGGTGCTAATCCCTCATTAACACTGCTGTTGTGCGCATATGTGGGCATGATACTCTTATGCGGCAATGGAAGCTCATTCATGTTAATCTCCCTCCCTAATCCCTCTCCTCCCTAATCTCCCCCATTAACACAACTGACGTGCTTGCGTCCGTGGATGGAATTCCTTTCCAGCTCAGACCCCGCTTGCTTGCCCATCGCCACATATATAACCTTGTATAACTGCTCTCTCGCTGGTTCAGCAGTTCCACTGCTGGATTATATTTTTTCCGCCTGAGGACGACTGCTTGTGTTGCGATCTAAACGTCGTGATTTATTTGATTTTATACCTACGTGACTTTACCGAAAGAACCAAAGAGTATGATTTAGATAACTGGCAGATGCACCAACTGTGCTCTCCAATGCGCCGCCTCACTGTGTTTTAGCCGCCCATTACTCCGCTCGTTGTTGTCGCTCCTCCGGCCCCTCCGTTATTCTCCGAGGTCTCAACACTTTTCTCCGCGCTTCTTCCCTCGCACTGCTTCACCTTCGAATTCCCTTTCATCGTCTATTTTTACCCAAGCTCTTGTAATAACCTTGCACGATTCAATAAACCTGTTACACTATTTATCCATTGCTACTTTGATGAATGCCATTGGCTTCTGGCCAATTGACAGGTTTGGCCTTCGCGCCTGTGCTCAGCAACCGTGTTGAATATCCTCGCGTGTGCACGTCGCCTGCTCGGCGAGCCTCCTACTGCTTCGCTGGCAGGGACCCACACGCGGCACGGAGTGCACAGCCCCGCCCGCCATGCCCCAATGCTCGCACCGGTCCCAACCCGCGGTCACCTGAGCGTGGATGAAGGCGTCGTTGAACAGGATGAACCAGTGGATAGAGAAGCGAGCCGTGTGGTGCAGGGCGAGCGGACAGCTGCGCGACTCCCGCACCAAGCGCCTCTCCGGCCTGCGCAGGGATTCCTGCAAGGTCCGGCCCACACAGATGCCAGGGTGCGCGCGTCAACGAGACGCTCACAGTTGTGCGCAAGCGTGGTGATGTGTGCGCAGCGCAAGTCGCGCGCTTCTACTTGCTCAAAATATACGCTATTCATTCAAGCTCCTCTTATGTGGCCTATTATGCACTTATTTTATTATCTATTTATTATCTATGTTCCTTCCTGTTACCAAGATACGTTTTAAAGAGTATTATTCATTATTACCACTAGAGGTATTAATATATTAGAACACCAAACAAAAACCTTTTGCAAGGAATCTGTTTGGTATTTTAAAATCTGAACACCTGTTTAATTGCCAGAAAGGGTAAAACCAATTCTTATGTGTTGATACTGGAAAGAAAGGTCCCATGATATACCACTCGACTTCTTGACCCAAGAAAGGTTCACTGGAATCTCAAGACTCTTTTTCAGGAACCTCGGAGAAACACCTTCTTGACTAGATTCTTTCAAAATCTATGATTGTTTAGACATTACTCAGTCCGAAAGCCAACCGCCATTGTGCAGCGCACTTGAGCATGCGAGCAAGTACGCGAGCACACAAGAACATGAGCGGTGTGCAAGCGAGCGAGTGGCCGTTAGACTTGCCGTGAGCTTGGAAGAGCAGGCCGCCCAGAAGAGCCGTGTGCGGTCGGCCGCGGCGCGCTCACGAGCCAGCGACGCGGCAAGCGCGGCCCAGCAGCTGGAGACCTTGTGCAGGCTCTGCCACTCAGTGCTCCCCTACACAAAATCAGAATATTTATTTAGACTGGAGGAGGAATGCGATGATCTGTAAAGCTATTTTTCACAGATTTCCAGTGGGGGTAAGGTCAGAATGTTTCAACAAATGATACAAAAATACAATAGGAGTGCAAATTATAGGCAAAGTAAAGAAATCACTTTAAAAATATATACAAATAAAACAGATTTTTTTTATCTTACTTTTGATCTTACTAGATAAGGCCCACTGTGCAATGTAGCTCTTTTTCAGAAGTGATCTGGCCACAAATAATAGCTCAACGAAGTGGCTTATCATGGGGAAATTCACACCACCAAATTAGTCGAAACAATCTGGAGAAAAACCGGGGGAACTGGAGAAAAAAAATCCAGGCGACCGCAGGGAGAACATGGAACCCCCAAATATACAGTTGTCAGGGTCGGACTCAAACACATGACCTTTTACATACCAAGCGAGGAATATAAAATCACAACACCATGGCACCCCTTAAACAAACAACAAAAACATCTTCAAATTGCATTCGTACATCAATTCCCAAGCCAGGGAAAAGCAATAAAACAGCAAAAACAGGTCCAGACCACAGCAAGACAACACACAGTCCCTCAATAAAATTGTACATTAAATGTAACTGATATATTCAATCTAGATTTGAAGCTTTCGTGACTGCAGGAATCCATACTCTTTGGTTCTTTCGGTAAAGTCACGTAAATTGAAAAAATAATAGATCACGACGTTTCGATCGCAATGCAAGCAGTCGTCATCAGGCGGAAGAAAGATTGCTTGTGTTGCGATCGAAACGTCGTGATCTATTATTTTTTCTACCTACGTGACTTTACCGAAAGAATCAAAGAGTCTTGATACATTGTTAAGAATAAAAAAATGTAAATCACATTGGCAAATGTGGCTGTATCCAGCACGAATCTGGATGAAGGCGTCATTGAACATGAGAAACCAGACAAAGACCCCCATATATCCTTTAATAAACAGTTGGAGCAAGTTCTGTTAGCGAGTAGCACCTATGACGGCCAGTACAGCAGCACAAGAGGGTGGGTGGCCAGCACCACATCCGGCCGGTTTTGTCTCCTCAGTGGCAATATTTTTACACATTGTACCAGGTTCTCATTTTAGGCCTAGTCGACCTAGGAGAGGCCCAGGACCAGTTCAGATAATTGTCATTGGTGTTAGCCGTGACCGGGAATCAAACTAGCGTTGCCATGTTTGTCCGTACATACAGTGTATATGTTCAAATTCTTTTGCACGGTACATAACTCGCCGTACTAATCGAATTTACAATTAGCCAAGTAGCGCAGCATGCTAACCACTGCGCCAACGCTCTCTGCGCACAGACACACATGAGCAGCCTCAGCACAACAAGCACGGAGGACAGCGTTTAGCAGCACTAGTCCAACGCAAGCAAACTCTGGACCAGTTTTGATATTCAGTGTCTCATCAGCAGTCTGGCTGAGAGATTGTGGTCAACGAATTTTACAGACCAACAGTTTATCAGGTCCAACATACTAAGTAGTATTTGTGGCAACACGAATCCATTTCTGTAATGTCATAAACAATGTATTCATCCGTGAATAATAATCAATATTGTTGGGTTATATAATAGATATGCATAACATTAGGACCCCTATCTCACAGAGAGGGTCCTTACCTGTAAACTTTGGTAGTTCATCAGTATTGGTTCAAGCAAGCCTGGCTGCTTATGAGACAATGAATGTCAAAACTGGTCCAAAAGGCAGTGTGGGCTGATGGGAAGTGGACAACTACTTATATTTATTACGTCTAAGGTCAAACATGTGAACGAGTTGTTTTATGTGCTTATTCTGTTATGAATTGATTGTAAAGTTGATGTTTTATAATATTACTACTATGCCTGTTCACGCAAGAGGCCTCACTGAGTCTCAATACTCTTTTTGAGAAGGGTCCTGCCAAGTTTTCTGCAGTATGGGGCAACGTTGCTGCTGCTTTGTATAATCCCAACTGAGCAGCTTGCAGGTAATCTTTCAGCATTTAGATGTTTGGTCAACCCAGGAGAAACCAATGCATGGAGGCGAGATGTTAACTCCCTCACCTAGTATACAGGAGGTAGTGGGTTCGATCTCGACCCTGACACCTGTATATTTGGAGTTTGCATGTCTCTCCCCCGTGGTCGTGTGGATTTTTCTCCGGGTCCTCCGCCTTTTCCCTCCACATTTAGAAATAAGCATTCAGAATTTTTCGGTGCTAGAAATATCCACGCGATAAGCCACTTTATTGAGCTATCATTTGTGGCCAGGTGACTACTGAAATAGAGCTATAAAGCTCAGTTGGACCTCACCTGGTAAAATTAATTCGAAATTATATGAAGTAAAAATAAAAAAGGGAGAAAATACAAACTCCACCCAGAAAGTTGTCCGAGTTAGGAATAAAACCCCAGGCCCTTGTTGTTGTGAGGCACGAGTGATGCCACTGCGCTATCCTGCCACCTAGATGATCGTAATAACGTGTGGTTGGATAAAAAAAGCGCTCAGTCAGGGCGATTCTCAGGCTCATCAAGACGAATAATTCACAGGCTCGGGCCTCACCCCAGGGAAGCTGCCACACATCTGCTTGGTGAGCCTCGCGTACTCCTGGGCTCTGTCTCCCGGCCACGAGAGAAGCCGCAGCAGCCCGTCCGCCAACGAAGCCTCGTCCGCTCGCTCATTCGCCTGTCCTTGCGCCAACTGTTTGAGTGCTTGCAAACCAACTTTTAGGCACTCCCTGCAGGAAAAAACAATACATGGCAAGCAGACTCATTTAGATCGAACGGGTGGCTATGCACACCTCTAATCCAGCACTGATAGACGCAAGGATTGGTGGATCACACACATTGTGTTAAACTCCCTTCTCGTGGGCATGAATGAGCCGTACCCCTGGTTCGCCAGCAGTTGGTGGTACAGCAAGGTGGACTAATTTCCATCTGTTCCATCTGTTGGGGATAGAGTGTTGCCTCCTCACAAGTGTCGGTTTTCTTCAGGTGTTTCAGTTTCCTCCCACACGTATAAACCACTCATTAATTGGTCAACAACACCTCAACAGGGGGTGAATTTGTCAATGGCTTCACCCCTTGGCTGCTGCCTTCCCCAGGCCTCCGAGTCATTCTCTCTCTTTGAGAGCGAGCTAATGCTGTGCAGTATGTTACAAGTTAAAATTATTTTTCATTAATTGCACACAGGCTCTAAGACAGTGGTTCCCAGCCTGGGCACTGCAAGGTGTTTTGTGTAATAGCACCATGTCAGTGGTGAGCATACAGAAACTGTCACTGCTGTTGGAATCGCAATACTAAAAATGACAAGTTAATTGAGGTGTGAAAGTGTTTTAGTTTTAAAGGAAAGAAGGTTATTTCTATCAGGTCAATCACAAACTCGCATCTTTTTTTGTTTCTTCAAAATATGTATCGAGGTGAGCAAACTATACCATGACACATTATAGTCTGTTGTATACCTGCACAAATAGGAACAGTCTACTATCCTAATTTGTTCATTATATTGACTGTGCTGTACCTTCACAATTTCAATTATAGACCGTGTACAGTTAACTTCACACGGAATAGGTTATCGCAGCCGATAATGTGAATCATAAGAGAGTTTTGGGTTAGGCCACATGGTGACCTGACCAATTGTGTCATTTGCAACCCTCCACCACCTGACTGTTTCGCTGTATCAGGTGGTCGATGGTTCCTAATATCACGGAATAGGTCAGATATTACATGGCCGAACCCAAAACTCTGTGATGAATAATGTACATTTCACCAGTGTAGGTCCATTAAAATACACAGACATAATGCCATTGTAAAACCACATTTTCCCCACACTACTCACCCGGCTATGCGGGAAATTACTTCAATTCCATCCAACACCAGCAGGTTGGTGAAGGATGAAAAGTACCTGTGCATGACAACATATTTGTCAGGGCCACACAGAGGAGGCAATACAGTCCAATGCCCATGCAGGAAGAGGGACAGGGGATGCACGATACCAAACATGGTAACAACTCAGCACACAAGAGTGACATAAGCAGATTTAAAAAACACTAGATTGCCATAGGGGCGGTGATGTAGCCTAGTGGCCCAGCGGTAGTGCTTTCTGCACTTGTTGCAAAGGTTCAAAGCTCAAATCCAGTGGCCGTCATGATTAACACTGAGAGTCTATTAAATATGCATAAAAATAGCAAGTCCTCGCTTAACATGGGGGTGTTATGGAAAATTGCCCAATAAAGTGAATACAATTTTCCCAAGGAGCAATGGTAAAGGTTGGGATGGCGTTCCAGACTGTAATTTTATTGTTGTTTTTATTTGGCAGTAGAGGTATGCTGTTACATGTGTTCCATTATAAATGTGGTGTTTATAAAGTATTTCTATATGTATATGCTACGCGTGACAGTCATATATTGAAATATAATGTGCGAGAGAGAAATACGGTGAGTGAAAAAGACAAGGAAGTGAGATGACGCTACGCACACAAAGATGCCTCGGAACAAAGAGTGAGGAAGAGGAAGGCACGCTGTTTATCACAGTACGTATTGGTACCACAATATGACAGTGCCAGCTCTCAACATCACCGAACAACGCTGCCAACACTCACGCCACTCAGAAAAGTAGTCCGTCACACACTAGCCTCGTATTATACTGAGTAGTCCATCACACGCTAGACTTGCAATGCAGCGAGTAGTCCATCACGCGCTAGACTCGCATTGTAGTGAGTAGTCCGTCACGAGCTAGATTTGCATGATAGCAAGTAGTCCATCACGTGCTAGACTCGTGTTATAGTGAGTAGTTGCTTTCGCGACCAATATTACCCATAAGAGGTTTTTTGGATTATTTTTGTTTCTCTCCATTTCAATAGATTACGTAATTAGTCTCGGCCAGTAGTAACCAGTTTTGCACAAAACGTCAAAAACTAATATCTGGTACTAAAGATGTATTACCGAAGATATCAACAGAAGGTGTATACCAGATTAATTGCTTCTGTGGCAAATGCTATGTTGGTTAGATGGGACGAATGATCAATATGAGACTAAAAGAACATATGAAATACTCCTAAACACAAATGTCGGCACTGCTGAATTTGCTGATGAGACACTGTCTAGTTTAACACGTGGGCTTTTGCAACCAATATTATCCATAATATAGGAGTTTTTTGGTTATATCGCGTAAATATCAATGTGGTGGCAGGTTTAACGACACATTTATATTTACGCGATCTAACCCAAAAACACGCTATTATGGAGACTGTATGTCTGAATCAAAGGTGCTCAATTATTCACTCCCAGAAGGCCATGGGGCCGTTGGGTTGTATAAAGAATACTTTTATATTTTATACAGATAAACAGATATATGAAGGAGATTGTATACTCTGCTTAGCTGCAGTAGGTCAGAAGACGGCAGAGTCCATGCATTGTTGAGATGCTGATGAGGCCGACAGCATTTACGAGCACAACGCGCATCTCTGCCAATCTCTTGGCCAACCCCCAAATTCTTTGTCGCGATGGGTCCCCTCCCCCCCCTCCCCATCGTTTATGGATCAGGATGAGACACTGCATGTGAAAGTCGTTACTTCTGAAACGTCTGCGTGTGGGTTGCGAGTTGGGAGACGACGAACAGGTCTCCCACGTCGCGCCTGCCGCCCAGGAACGTGCCCAGGCTGGCCCCGTGCTGGCCCAGCAGCCAGCAGGTGCTGCGGAAGGTGTCGACAGCAGCCCGGAAGGCAGCCTCCACCGCGGACCCTCGGAGCGCCGCCACTGCATCTGCATGTGCAGGGGAAGTCCGCCGTGAGCCTCGCACTGCTGCAGGTCGTCTGCCGCATTCGTGCTTTTTTTTAGTTCCTTTATTTATCTACTTCACCGGGGAGATGAAAAAATGAACCCCATCGGGACAGATGAAGCAGCATCGCCTCCCTTGGAACAGGGGGGCGGGGCAGGGGGACGACGACCCGGATCACATCGAGTACAATTTAAGAACATAATATTATTTTAAATGTAACAAATCTAGACTAGATTTGACAATGAGTATCATACAATGTGAAGAAGGCTCAGGTGGAGAGGTTTAGTGACGGGATGAGGCCAGTAGAGTTAATTCTTACAATTTTTTTTAAATGAGCTCAAATGTCAACAGCCGGCGTAGATGGTCGGTTAGCATTGAACGCAAACACCGTAACTCTCCACAGCTCTACAAGTTTTTGGCAAAAGCCTGGTCATAAATTAATTTCCAAACTCGGCAACAGCCGGGATTGAATTTAGATGTAATCGGGAGGTCGAGTGATTCCAGAACCAAGGGCAACAGCTGACAACAATTGTTCCTTAGACTGGTCTACACACGGAACTCTTGATCAAGGTCAATATGTCATAATGACTAAAGCCATCGATGCCTCCACCCACCTTTCCAATGCTCTCTACCCTCCGCCAAATCCCACAGCTGCTGCACATAAGACACACAGCCACCAGCAAGATCTGTCCCGGCAGTCTCCCACTAATATGTTACAAGTTCCGCTCTTCTCCTCGGGTCGCCGGACTCGTGGACACCAGTCCAACACGATTTCCGCAATTGGCCCTCTCCCATTTTGCACACGGGTCCCACCCCAGTGCCTAACGGATGAACGGACGTCATTGAGGAAATCCTCCCGGGCTACTCGGCGTCACCTGAGTTCAGCAGAGGCTTGAGCACGTGAGTCTTGGCTGCTTGCAGCTCGCGGTAGCAGGTGCGCTCCGTAGCCGATAACTCATGCAGGGCAGCCACAAACCCCTCAGGGGCGGCGGCAGCGGTGGCGGAGGAGAAGGAGGGGCCCCCATCCGACAGAGACACGAAGACGTTCCCACTCAGCGACACACTGAACACGTGGCCAACCTGCACAACAAAGTCAAAGTGATTTCCTACTCAAGCGACGACCGGGGCGGTGTGCTCATCCCCTCTCTTTATAGCCCTGAAGCCAGTGGTGAAAATGCCACATTCTCATAGTGTTGGGGGGAGTGATTTTCTCCATGGGACAACCACCGATTACTTTCCCACAAAGTCACATGGGGTGGTGACATGGCCAAGCAGCGGTGCATTCCCTTCTTGCTTCAGAGGTTCACGTTTCGAATCCGGCAGGTCACCCTAGTTAACACTGCAGGTGCATTAACCATAAATACGTGCTATCTGCTTCGCAGATCTCCTGACATCATTCGATACGAGTAGGCTATTGTATGCCGGCGTCATTATACATAGCAATCACTGCCCCCTTCTGCCAGACTAATGTCTGTTTGCAGGCCAGGTGCTGAGTCACATTGTGCCACACAGGGCAGCTGCTTATATAAAACACTTTGAGTTGCAGAGGAATTTAACCGTCATGTAAATGCAACAATTACGATTACAAGGAGACCCTTGAACATCGTTGGGATTACGTTCTTGGACGACTCAGCCTGAAATGGGTACCTGGTGTGGTGTATAAACATCACCACTGGAGAAACAAAGGCAACCAGGCATGGTGCTGGCTACCCACCCCCCCCCCCCCCCCGTGTGCCACAGTGCTTGCTAACAGAACTTGCCCCAACAGTCTGTTAAGATTTTCTGGATAAGATCGCGTGAATATATAAATGTGTCATTAAACCCGCCACCACCCGACATAGCCAATTAGTAAGGTTTGTCACGTAAACAGAATATGCCAATTCTTTACTAGTACAGCACGCCGGTGTGTTGGAAAGCAAAGCCACAACAGTTACAATCTGAGTACGAAGTTTTGCCAGTAATTACAACTAGCTTTATCAGGCGACAGCCTGATTTGTGGAGAAATCCTCCTGTTTAGTTCCTTAAATAGAGGCGGGTTGATGTGATATCACTTGTGAGCCCTTCTTGATGGAAGTGGGGGGGGGGTTAATGAATTCATAGAAATAGCAATGGATATATTTATATGACAATCAACCTACATTATACGTGCGCATTATGCAAGCCCATTGATCTTGTACCTCCTGTCGATTGTGTGCACTAAAATAGAAGTACCTGTTATTGTTCAAAGGTATTTAAACAATATATAATTTGACGATTCGCTTCCGGGGGGGGGGGGGGGTCTTTGTCCGCAAGATGGTTGCATAGCAAAGGTTGAGGTACCACTGCCTGCCTGGTGTCCCATGTCCACCCCGAACCACGGTATCAGCCACAGATATGGCACTTCTGTGCACAATACATTGATAGGTCGAAACAACATGAACAATAAACCTGCAATATTCAAGTAACTCCTGTATCATCAAAAACTTTGTACAGTTTTTTTTTTGTAATTCTTATTCCACGTTGTGTTGCACGAGGTATAGTTATTGTCTGTTCATGCACCTGCTCTGGTACGGGGATGACGGCAACGCTCGCAAGTGTGGGCTCCCCTCCCACGTGGAATAGCCGTGGGCAGTGTCCAGGCCCGTCGCAGAGTAGCAGGGAGCCAAAGTCTCCAGCCGAGATGTCCCAAACCGCTTGGGCAGGTGGGCCCTGCTCACCCACAACCACGCACGGCCGTAGTTCAGGGACGTGCATACTGCCGGGACTCCCAGCAGAATCAGGAAGTGCGGCAAAAATTCAACATCAAAGGCTCGTTGCTGTAGCTAAGACTGCACACGCAAAGACACAGGTGAACGTTGTGGATGCAAACATATAAAACGACGTTCTCGCTAAAACGGGAATAATACGGAGCTAACTCAGGCACTTTCCCATTGACTAATCATGCAGCAGATGCCACCCTTAACGTGTACTGGAATATGCTCAGCAAACTGAAGCGCATCCAGCTGGGAGAGGAAGTGAGCTCATCTTGCACCCTGAATAGCGGGTATCCCCAGGGATCTTGAAACACAAATTTCTTTCAAACTGCTTTTTTGTGTTTAGTATATTGTCCTTCCCCCGCACCTCCAATTAGCACAGTTGGCTACGTACGGCACGAAATAAGTAAAAAATGCATACATACATTAGCACGGTTGGCTACGTACCGTGCGAAAGAAGTTCAAAATAAATACATCTGTGCTCACTGATGCTCTTCAACCTGTACACGGGAGATACGCCACGGGCATCGTCCCACAAGGTAAAGTAGGTGGACGACGAGGCTCCGTCTGCACAAGCTTACAGTGGGCTGGAGGCCACACTAAACTGTGACCTCAACACCATGGAGGAGTACTTCCGAAATGACCCCAAGTAAATCGATTGTCTTGGTGTTTCATGTCAACAACAGTGCAGACGCCACACTTGGCGAATGTCTTGCAGCAGAAAAGGTGCGACGTAACCCGATGCCGACCGATCTTGGCATGACAACTGACCGCACACAAACTTTTAATGAACACCTAAAAAAAAAGTCTGCCAGTAAAACTAAGATGAGGTTGAACTGCATTAAAAAATCATACGATACGAGCTGGGGGCAGATGCCTCGGTGCTTTGAACATCGACCACTGCCTGAGTGTACTTGGGAGTACTCATCAATACCCAATTGACCACCGCGATGCAAACTACCACGTATGTGTAATAACACTCTGGAAACAGCGTGTGGAATCGGTCCTTTTGTTTACTTTCCTCAGTTCATAAGCACTCTCCGTTGCTGGCAGGCAACGGGAAGTGGGCAGACAGATTGCAAGAGATGCACCGCCACGTGGCACTCGGAGCCCCGCTCGCGCGTGGCCCCTCTCTCTCTTCGTTCCTTGTCTGACCCCGTGTCCCTCGGCTCTTCCCTTATTTAATGCCTGGGTCACGTGGTATGCTCCAGCCAATCCTTAATAGCCTGCGCTGAATGTTCCAGATTCCTCCATCAACTCCCAGGACCACGCCCCTGACTTGTCTTCCCATTGGCTGAGGCCAAGAGCAGCAGAACCAATCATCCTAGCTGACATCCCTCGATCACGCCAGGGCCATGCTCCCAGGCTCTCCCCCCATTAGCTGTAGAGCAGGACCGGCAGAGCCAATCACCTCGTGAGCCGGACATAGGCTCTCATTACATATGTTTAAATCTACGCCATTGCCTTGGCTTCTTATGCTATATAATATCGCACCACCAAATATTCACTGCGATGGCTGCAATGCTCCGTGAACTAAAAATGACCCAAACCATTCAATCAACCACGATCTGAACAACATCCCACACCCACGGCTGAGATACAGAACTCCGTTATTTTGGAAGCACGCGGCACAAACTCGGCGTGACACGAACTTCAGCAGTATAACGTTGCGAACCAACTTGTGGGCTTCAAGAAAGGTGCCCAACATGCACCTGCTCACCAAGCCATACCAACCAGACAGCACAGTTAAAATCTTCCAGAGAAACAATGGGATCTGCACAAACTGCAAAAGATGCGGTGGACAGCTAATGCGCAAGTGTAACATAAAAAAGACTCTACTGTGTGCAACTGCAGCAACAAACACAAAACCATCCACCACACAACTTCGCACCGACCCAAACGTAATCTTGAAGGTGGTGTGTGTATCTGCAATTGAATGACTAAATCACTCGGTTAACTTAATAGTTGCTTTTCGTTGGTCGTATGTAATTATCAAAATAGAAACGGCAATTGTTTATTTTGGACGTAGCGCCCTCCCCTTTATGCCGAGGCATCTCAGGAGCGCTTTAGATCTCATCTCAACGTATCAAGGGAACCCCCAGTGGCAGTTGTCCCCATGGACAAAATGCGACTCGGCACCTGGTCAGAAAGTGGACACGAGTACCGTCAGCAGAGGACGACTGCTGCTGTGCGTGCGATCCCAACCGAGTAATCCTGCATCGTAATTTTGTTTTTATTCGGCAAACACGGACCATGACACCGGCACAAAATCGTGCGCTCGTTTTAGAATGGCAGGGGATAATTAACGTCCACTCTGGCAGAGCAGCAGACGGCACGTGTTCATTTACGGTTAACGTACCCCAGTGTTAGTGTGTGTATGTGTGTTGAACTTCTTTCGCACCATATGCTGCCAACCATGTTCATCGGAAGTGAGGGGGAAAGGCAACAAACTAACCACAAAGAGCCGCTGTAAAGAAATAAGTTTTCAATCTAAATGATTTAAAAGTGCATAGCTCCAGTGGCTTCCCAATATCGGAAGAGTGTTCCAGCCGGCCGCAGAAGCGTGTCCGAAAGCGCGCGATGCGGTGACCGTCTTTGTTCGATGGCTAGCCAAAAACCGCTGCTGCTGCTGCTGCGAGGATGACCGGAATCCGCGTGATGATGATTTATGCTCCTTGACAAGATCAGCAAGGCATTGTGGTTTCATTAGTAGCGAGCGCTCTGTGCAACCATGCTAGCGCTGGTCCACGGCATCGCCGCATCCGGCACAATGCTCAGACAAAGGGCATAGCAGCCGTGAGCCTCAGGGCTGGCGGCGAGTTACCATGAGCAAGCGGGGCAACGGCGGAGAGGAGCTCGCGTGGCCACGATGACCCCGAGAGTTACAGCCCCACAACCAAACCTGTATTCCCACAGACACACATTTCAACAAGCTCGTGATCATTTTCCGTTTCATATTTTAAAAGCAAAAAGCAATGTTACTCGCCCCACATGGACTCCAAAGAAATGTATTTAACACATAAAAGGTGTGCACTGTATACAAGCCTTATGCAAACCATAAGCTCAAAAGAACTGCACGTGGAGATATCTTTCTGTTATGGTGGGGTTTCTCGTCATTTATAGATTTGAATTTCGGACCAAATGGGTTGCCACCTGTCCTGTTTTCGCCAGTATTTACAACCAGCATCATCAGGCGGCAGCAAGAGTTGTGGAGAAATCCTCATATATTTACGTAATCTAACTCAAATAACCTATATTACGGATAATATTGGTCGCGAAAGCCTACTAATGCGTTAAACCAGTTAGGACATATGTTGAGCCGTGACGGAGCGTGCTAGAAACCTGTCCCGTGCTGGTGAGAGCCATGGAGTGATAACCTCCAGCCACCACCTTCACCGTCTCCTGTCCGCTCAGCGTCTTCACACACTCGGCCTCTGCCCTGCTCCCAAACAAAAAACCGAAAGCATCAGTCGCCACGGGCAGTCCACGTAATAATAATAAGAGTTTAGCCAGCGATGACTTAAGATGCACTTAACAATGCTGCAGAGATTTACAATTTCCGATCCAATCGTGGTATCATCATAAATCATGCCAACGCTGGGCCACACGGCCGCCCAGCTGTAGCTTAGCCGCTTGAGATCAACGTTAGGCAGTGGTACGGCATGGCGGTAACACATAAACTGCTTGTTGCAGAGGCTCGTGGTCATAATCTGGCAGGCCGCGTTGGTTATCGCCGCAGGCACTTTAACCGTCAAATACATTTTGACACGCCTCCATATAGGAATGTGAATTTCTGCCGCTGGCTGAAGTGTTATAAACATAAGGTGAGCACTGCTTCAATGCTCAACCGAGCAGGAAATCACGTTGGGCACTGCCGACTTTCGACGGAGAGCCTGACCGGTAATTCTCACCTGGGGTTGAAGTCTCCAAGGCCCAACTGGCCCTCGAGCCCACGGCCCCAGCTCCACAGCTCGGTCTGCAGGCACGGCAGACTTGAGGCCCACTCGGCCTCGGGGGAGCTGGGCAATGTTGCGGGGCCCGGCCGGGCGCCCTCTCTGCTGTCATCGGCCTTTCTTGCAAAGCGTGACACTGACACAGGATGCATTCCGCATTAAACTATTTTTTATTTTACGAGTTAAGGGGCCACTTAGCTACGTAGTACCTCTGTTTCAGAAGCGACCTGGCTATCGCAAATGATAGCTGAACGAAGTGGCTTATCTTCTTGGTTCTTTCGGTAAAGTCACGTAGAAGGGAAGTAATAAAATAATAAAAATAAAACATAATAAAATAATTCTCACGACGTTTCGGCCACAACGCAAGCAGCCGTCCGCAGGTGAAGACCAGGTCTTGGGCCGTGGGGAGGGGTCTCGGGTGAGGAGGAGCGTGGAGGCGGATGAGGACGGCTGCTTCCAATGCCCGTCTCGGCAATCATCCCTCAAGATGCCATTATCCGCTTAAGATGGCAATACACGCAAAATAGTAATATATGAAAGTTATAATTGCTAATAATTAATCTTAACTTTGAGAACTGGTAGGGGTTCTGAACATGGGGACCGCATTTTTCTTCTACTTGTTTACCCAGGGGAGTCTTACTGAGCCCCAATATTTTTCCAAGAGGCTCTCGCCAAGTTTTCACGGAAGGGGGGCGATGTTGCTGCTGTATGTAATCCGAATTGAGTAATTTGCAGGTAGTTACATTTGTTTCAGTGCCGCAGCGACAAGATATTAACTACCTCGCTTGGTATACATGAGGTCGTAGGTTCAATCCTGACACCTGTATATTTGTAGTTTGCATGTTCTCCCCATGGTCGTGCGGATATGTCTCCCGGTCCTCCGGTTTTTCCCTCCACATTTAGAAACGTGTTTAGAATATTTGCTGCTATAAATTTCCACGTGATAAGCCACTTCGTTGAGCTAGCAAGGTCGCTTCTGAAAATTAGCTAATTCGGAGCGAAACTCGGAATGGTGTATGGATAGCAGAAACACCCATCAGCCGCATGGACGTGAATTGCTTTCAGGGCTCTCCTTTGTCCAAACCCCCAACTCCCTCCCCCTCTCACACACCCTCTTCACTATCACCCCCCCTCCCGTGATCTGTTGATGAAACAAATCAGTCGAGACACCGATGTGGCAGCAAGAGAAGTTTATGCGAAGGCAGTCAAAAGAGGTCACACGTATGGCGCAACGCTCCTTCACTGACTATGCGCGATGAAGGAATATCCCCCCCCCCCCTTCCCAGGTTTCCCTCGTCAGGTTATACTCTCCCCAGTTATCCCCTCCCCATTTAAAACAAAAACTATATCTTTCATGCAAGTCCAAGGGAGCGTACCGTGGGCCAGGCCCTGAACCAGGCCGGGCAGGGAGAGGCGGCGCGAGCACTCCTCACGTACAGCGCGCACGTCCACCAGGCTCAGGCACTTGCGCCCGCCGCCCTCGCCCTCCTCCGCCTCCACGCTCCTCACCCGAGACCCCTCCCCACGGCCCAAGCTGCACGTCTCCACCTCAACGGCCCGGCTCTGGCACAACGAGCAGGTGACAAGTGAAGTAGTAGTTTGTTTTTGATAAGAGTGCGCAACGTCTCGAAGCGATTAAGCACCTCACATCGCATCTCGGGTTGGTCACGGGGCGGCCCAGCGGTAGCGCGTTCACCGCTCCTTGCTCGGGTTCATGGTTCGAATCCAGCGGCCGCCCTTGTTTATACAGCAGATGTATTACTCGTAAAAAAAATAAGTCTGGTCTGCTTCACAGTAGACATTAAAAGATCCCGTGATGTCTCTCACAAGAGGAGGGAGGCTATTGTGTGTTTGTGCAAAGTGAAACTTACCTGTGAGCTGAAACAATAATTGTCATACACTATGGGAACCTCATTTGCCAGAAAAAATATAATTGGTTTTTTACCCTTCTATCTGGCAACAAAACTGACACCTTTTTACAAGGAGTCATGTTTGCATAGACCGCAATACCTGCAGTCAATAATTGTCATGTTTACACTGGTAAATGTGACAATTCCAGCCTCATTCAGACACAGAGCTGCTTCAACATGGATTGATCTCCCAGATACGCTAAACTCTGCCAGTCTCATCCTATTTAAATCTGTTAATTAAAACTCACCCGCACAACACTTGTTACAGCTGGAGAACATTCTACATTCATCAACACTGTGGTCGAATACATTTACATATATATTTATGTGTGCAAGTGTTCGACTTTATGTGACATTCATTGTATATATGCATACTGTATAAGTTACATGTTGCTAGGTGTTTGTGTTAATTGACACCTTGGACACTCTTACAAGTGAGATGTTCGATCTCAAGGGCTTTTCCACGCGAAATATTTTAATATTAATAAAAAACACATTACCTTTCAAACTGACTCAAGTGCTCCCTCCCTCTCAATAAACACAAACGCCTCCTCATCCGGGTCACTCTTTCAAATGAGCCAGTCTCGTTGTTTCTCAAGTTCTTACTAGGTTAAAAAAGCGTACATCCTCCAGGATGCGTACGCCCGTCTACTCTGTAGAGCGTCATGAGAACGCTGTTACATATCTTCACTAAATTAAGTCTGAACCGTGCTGCACCCTAAACCAGAACCGTGCTGCACCGTACGTGCTTGGGAGCCCGCCAATCGGCCCAGCGGTAACGCGTTCACACGCTTGCCGTAGAGCAGTGTTTTTTAACCTTTATTGCAGCCTTGCACCCCTTTTGTTCTCAATCATTAAAACATGTATAATGTTAATAATTACATCGGTTTGATGATACAAAGTAGTTGAACCTACGTGCCCGTGCTTAATTTGTGTTTCTATGATTTACCTTCTAAAAAATCTGCCCATGTTCCGGTCCCCCAGAAAGGGCATGCACCCCGTGTTAAGAACCATCGCTGTAGAGGTTCACGATTCAAGCCCAGAGCCCACCCGGGTTAATGCTGCGGCTTCTGTTGATCATGAACACACGCAACGCACCGTCTCCTTCTCAATGGCGCTGTGTGCTAAATAAGGCGGCCATTGTGCACGCTGCTATCATGGGCCGCATTTGCCAAAGTCGAAAAATGACACGACGTGTCACTCAATTGGGATCACGCAGAAAAAATCATCGCCCACTACTGGCAGCCTAATGTCCACTCGCAGGCCGGGTGCAGAGTCACCTTGTGCACATAAAGACAGCTGCCACTGGGGGTGCCCCTTCAAATGTTTGAGATGAGATGTCAAGTGCTTCGAGACACCCCGGCATAAAGGGCGAGAAAATCAAACACAACTAGTTATCATCATCATCATAATCATCGTTACGCTTGTACCTGTGACTCTAAGATGTCCTCAGCCATTTGCACTGGGACCTTGCTCTCCTCGGGCAGAGAGCTATCATGGTGGGCACGAACGACACCCCTCTCAGTCTCGCCGCCGCACTGATTGGATGCCGTCACTGCTTCCGACGCGAGGCAGTGGTGCTCGTCGGAAATGACCACGTGGTCCGCTGCGTCAGTCATGGTCACCAACAGTTGCCTGCAGTGGGCACACGTGTCGGGCTCGGGGCCGGCCACCGCTGCCGCTGCCGCCACTGTACTCCGTGCTCGCCGTGCCAGCGCGAGACAGTGCTGCGCCCCGCACGCCACCTGCACCACACAGACGGCGCGCAGTGCCTCTACCACACGCGGCGGCACCACCGCCGCCATGCCGCTGCCACAGTCACCGCCGCCGCTCCTGCCCGGCACACCGCCCCACTCCCACGCTTCTCCGCGAAGCGAGAGGGCCAGCGTGAAGGCGTCCCCGCAGGCCAGCTGGGCCACGTCGGCCAGCGGCGGTGCCTCTCTGCCAGGGCCCGCTTCGAACGTGGGCACCGGAGCGGGACTGCCGATGGCGTCGGGCGCGCTCCTGCCACACTGGCCGTGGGTGTTGCACCCCCACATGAAGGGCACTCCGCCCGAGCACACAGCGCCGCAGTGGGTCCGCCCCACCGCAACGCTCAGGACGACCTTCCCGAGCAAGGCCCTCATCGGGGCGATGTCCCACGCGTCGGCACCGTCCGTAGGCCCAGGCTGCTGACAATCCTCTGACGGTTCAGAGGCTGGATTGGCTGAAGCGGTGCTGTCCTCCTCTACTTGTGTCTTGGCATTTTCGGGAGCGACTGCTGCTGTGTGCAGGTTTACGTCCAATGAGCCGAGTTGTGTTCCGCTTGGCGGAACGTCAGTGTTGTCTGCAGAGCTAGAGTCCGACGATCGCGGATATTTTTCTCTGAGGTTTCTCGTGGCTTCTTCTCGAGGGGTTAACGTGGAATCCTCATCTCCTTCCAAACCCTGGGTCACATTTTTGAGAAAGAAAACCTCACCAGCTGGAGAAAAAAAAAACAGATACACAGGTAACAGAAAAATGTAATATTAAAATATAATGGGGCAATCTGGAAAATAGTCATTTTCTAAACGTCATATTATTTTTATTATCAGGCTTGTTTAACCAGAAAAGCCTCATGAGTAGCAAGACTCATTTTCAAGAGGGTCTTATCAAGTTTTCGTAGTGGGCAACATTTCTCTGTGTAATCCCCATTGAGTAATTTTTGTGGTTTATTTTCCAAATTGGGACCCACGACAACAGCAGTGGCTTACTCTTGCGAGTTGCATCAAGGGATCTATGAAGCAGACGCCATTTAGTATTTGTTGGCTCTTCCACACCGCTGCAATAGCCAGAACAGCCGCTGGATTTGAACCGCAAACATCTGCGACAAGTGGTGAATGTGCTGCAGCTGGGCCATTCCATGGCCCCAAGTCTGTGCAAGGTAATAATAACGTTTTTAATTATTGAGATATTTGGCCAACGCAGGAGCAAAGCGCAGAACATGGCGAAAAGGATGTCATGGCACACTAGGGGGGTGGTGGCCAGCACCACACTAGGTTATCTTTGTCTCCCGAATGCTGATGTTCACACGCAGGCTCTCACTCGTACTCCGCAGAAAATGAGCTATGTAGCCCAGTGGGCTTTATCTGGTAAAATAAAAATACTAAATGAAAAAAATAGGAAGCATTGCGGCACCTGTGGTGAGCAGGAGGCCGTGCTGCGTGCTGATGAGGGCCTGCTGCACAGGCTGGCGGATGAGCGGTGCCCCGAGTGCTTGTGGCACGAACTCTCCATCATGACGACGCCACCGCCGCCACACGAACACGAGTCCACAGCCAGCAGCCGGCTCCTCCATGGCACTGGGGCACCATGCACACAAACACACAACATTGCATGGCCTGGCTCAATCAATCTATAAAACTACAAACATCATTTTTTATCAAATAAAGCGCACTGAGCTATGTCGCTCTTTTTCAAAGGTAACCTGGCCACAATTGATAGCTCAACGAAGTGGCTTATCATCACGTGGAAATTTACAGTGTCCAAATACTCTAAATGCATATTGATTATAAATGTTGAGGGAAAAACCAGGGGACCTGGAGAAAAATCAAAGCGACTACAGGGAGAAAGACATGTAAACTCAAAATATACAGGCGTCAGGGTCGGAATCAAACCCACGACCTCCTGCATACCAGGCGAGGGAGATAACATCTCGCCACCGTGGCACCAATTACTGTCATTCATCTGGCTACGGAGACACTGAAGAAGTTTGGTTTTCTTTCCCTTGCCAAAACCTCCTTTGCTTGATGCTGGTGGCTCTGCTGCACGCGGCCTGCAATATCGCACTGTTGCAATCAGCAAACGTTGGTGGATCATGTAAGATACTCGTGCAACACCCAAATCAGTTGCGGCTGCGAGGCAGCCATCTCCTGGCTTGCCGGGGTATGGCAGTGCAGCAAGTGGGTGAATTTCGATATTTATTACTAGCTTCTTTGCCTATCCTAGGACGGACCTGTAAATTACGAAAAAAATGAGCAGAGTATAATTGTATCTTGTGTAAATTGAATGGCAGTGAATCTTGAACGAAAGTATGTCATAAAACACTTCACTGCATTTCACTGTAGCACTGTATATAACTGCTCTGATACTTTATTCTCTTCTGCTTTCGGTCGCTGGGGTTCAAAGAAATTGGATTGCAATACAATATCTGGAAAATCACCAAGAAATGTCTATTTAACCAAAATGTAGTAGCATACATTTTGAATTTTTTTTTATCTCAAGTGCTGAAGAAAAATATAATGACTCCAAATCCACTTAGTTTCTGCGTAGAATTATTTATTAGATTCACTTTCAATAAAGAAACATGAAAATTAAAGCGAATTTGCATGGAGCTCCCCCCTCATCAATAATCATAAGCTGATGACGGCATTCATGTGGACCCTGCCCCCACCCCCTCATTAATAATTATGAGCGGATGACGTCACTCCACATGGAGCTCCCCCCCCTCATCAATAATCATGGTACGATGACGTCACTCATGTGGACCCGGCCCCACCCCCTCATTAATAACCATGAGCAGGTCATTCTTTTCGATTGAATATTTTAGATTAACTGCAATACACCCGTCCTTGGACAGGCTGTAGGCTACTTTGATCATAATTTAGAAGAAAAAATTAGACTTGCCTTTTGTTTCAAGTGCTGAAGAAATAAATAAAGACACCAAATACACTTTGTTTTCTGCATATAAATATTGATTTGATTACATTTCAATAAAGAAACGTCAAGTTTAAAGCGAATTTGCGTAAAAATAAGTATTTCCTATCGACCTGCGTGAGTGTAAAAATCCACCCGCTCATGATTATTTTATTATTGACGGGGTGGGGTGCAGCATGTGGAGTGACGTCACGCACGCGACACACATTTCTGGGCTATTATAGTAGTACTATCTGTACGGGGATTAAATGTGATCCCCTCGCACACGTGGGTTTTCTCCGAGTACCCCGGTTTCCTCTCGCGTGTATAAATACTTGTCATTCATGGAGTGCTTGTTGGCGCCAGCTCTGGCTGCCTTCCCGCTCGCCTTTGGTTTCCCATGCCTCTGACTCAAAGAACAACTGAGCGTGTCACAAATTTGTATTTTTACTTTCATTAACTCCAGACAACTAATACTGTTATCCAAAGCAGAAATTCGGCCTAATCTGGGATACCATTGCCCTATCTGCAGTGCAGCACCCAGCTCCTACCTCACTGCACTCGATATACTTTTACATTGAGCAATAAAGGAAATTAATGATGCAGCACTCACTGATCAATCCACCCACTCGCTCTCTGGTAGTCAATCGCCTCGTAATCGCTCTTCCATTGATACAACATTGTTACAATTTCCATGAACTTCCATGAACTTCACGCGTTAATTCCTCCACCTGTTGAAACTATTAAAAACTATTGAGGACTTTGTCTACCAGACTGACTTTCAATCCACACTCACTGTTTTCAACCACCGCACTGCAGATCACAACATCACACTCGCCCACTCACCCACTTATTCACTCACCCACTCACCACACTACAGGTCACCTCACATCTCTCCGCTTCTTCTCTCGCCACTGCTGCACTGTGGAATTCCATCCTATTTCTTTTCCCAAGCTCTAACAATAACATTGCTCTATTTATATGCTACACAAGAGTGTAGCGTATAAGTGCTACACTCTTATCTTTACCCGCACCTACTGGACATCTGTGAAGAAGAGCTTCATACGTCATCGGATTCCTCTAGTATAAATAAAGATTCCAATTCTGATTCCAACTTTGAAAGTGCTGTGTGTTGCTGGCTAACTTACTTTCGGGACTGTACTCAATAACTGTGTTGAAAAAAAATTAACACTCACAGGTAGTGCAATGACATAACGAAACCAACACTTGTCTTATTAGTGCAACATTAGACCCTCGTGCAAAACAAAATATGTGTGGGTGTTGTCATTGTGCATTGGATGGAAAAGTGCACCGTTTGCAAAGTATAAATTCTCCTCGGGTCAAGTATTTTTAAGAGTGTAAGTCCAGCAGTGGAAGTGGGCCGGTGTATGCCAGCATTCCACATCGGAACTTCTCACCAACCATGTGCGTATCAGCACTCTTCAGACCAGTTCCTATTCCTCCACAACGATTTTCAGCAGAGGGGAAACGACCCAGAGTATGAGTCTGTGATGGTGTGTAGGTGAGCCTCAACTGAGTACCCAGAGGGGTGTGTAAACATCACCACCAGAGAGACAAAGGCAGTCGGGCGTGGAGCTGGCCCCCCACCCCTTCGTGTGCCATGCCGGCCTTCACAGGTGCTCATGAACAGCACTTGCCCCTAAAGTCTGTTAAGGCTATACGGGATATCTTTGTCTTTTTGTGTGAGAAGTGCAACTACCTAAAGGGGGCAGTAGTGCAATGGTTAGCGTGCTGCGCTACAAACTCAGGAGACCCTAGTTCGATTCCACCTCACGGAAACCAACACCGGTGACAATTATCTGAACCAGTCCTGACCTCCCCTAGGTCGACTCTGCCTTAAATGAGTTCCTGGTGCGATGTGTAAACATCGCCACTTGGGAGAAAGAGGCGACCGGGTATGGTGCTGGACACCAACCCACAAGTAATGCCTCTGTCAGTTACCGCAGTTAACCCATGGCAACTGGATCTGTCTCGTGACCTCCTGTCAACGAGCATTCGACACTTCAGGTGGCCTCAAAGTACACCTGGCCTGGCAAAATCACTTTAGTGACATCACCGTAACTTAGTGGCAAATAGCGGCTGTTGTTGGTGTGATGGTGGGAGGGAGTGTGAGCTTGAGGGAAGTTTCAGGGTGTGTGTGACTCAAGCTCGACTCCCGCTCATGGCCTACATCGGTGAGAAATATCTAAGTCGGTCCTGAGCCTCCCCAAGGTCAACTCAGCCTTAAATGAACATCCGATGCAGTGTGTAAATATCAGCACTGGTGGTGGCCACCCACCCCCTTGTGTGTCGTGCTGGCTTTAATAATGGTGCAGGGTGTAAGACCGGCATTTCGACCTTTACATTTCCACCAATGAGCATGACCCAGCGGTAGCACGTTTGCCACTTGCTGGTGAGGTTCACAGTTCGCCCCTGGTTACTATCGCGGGTGTAATAAACGTGAAGTACTATGCACCACCTGCTTCACAACGTACATTAAATATCTCTGAATGTCATTTGCCATTGTGTGCCAGCGTTACGTCCCAAACTTTAAATATTATCTGCAAATTACTCAATTTGGATTATACGTAGCAATCATCAGCCCATGGAGCATTCTTCTCCAGTGCCGTTCCGACGATGAAGTTTAAATCAAATGCCCTCCGTCCCCACGTGCGTTGTCGAACATTCAGAGGCCTTTCCGCGATTATCACGATGGCTGCAGTCCATGTTGGCTGTTGGGGTGGCGGCAGCGCACTCGTCACTTGTTGCAGTGGTTTCATGCTTCGAACCTAACGACCGTCCCGATTAATGCTGTGGCTGTTATTAACAAACAGGTACTACACATGTCGTCTGCTTCACAATGGACCTTCAGAGATCCCGTGACGTCATTTGCAAGAGTTCAGCCATTGCGCCCTGGTTGCATGGGCTACATTTTTGTAAATATCCACAAAAATGCTCAAAAGATACAACTTACTGGATTTTTGTCATCACCCCCTACTGTGAAAAGTTGGCCAGGACCCTCATAAAAATAAATCATGAGACTCAGCGAAGCTTTCCTGGGTACACAAGTGTTATAGTATATCAGAAACACATTCCTGCGGAGGGAGCTGGTAGGAACGTTGGGTTGCTCGGTCAATGGCTAGGGTCAACGGCGGCTTGGTGTATTCCGCAAATATGCCCGACTGTGAGGGCGGGCACAAGCCGGCGTGAGTAGGTTAAACGTTGCGTTTTATAAGGGCATCCCGGGGTGACCAGCCCCTCCCCACCCAGCCCCACCCCTGCCACCCTCCACCCAGCCCCACCCTCCCAACCCAGCACCTCTCCACCCCACCCAGCCCCTCCCCACCTTCCCCTCTCCACCCAGGTCCACCCCTCCCATTTTTGGATGCACGACAGACAGATGAACGGACACAATAATCCCCTGTGGGCTGGTGTAACCAGGAGGTTCCTACCAGTAAAAAAGTTGTGTAGCCTGATGACCTGGCTGGATTCCTGTCTGACTGGGCACAGCGCTCTCAAGCTCTTTTGTATCGTTGTGACATCACCACTCACACCTGCTTGATGACATCACACACACGGTTGGCTACGTACAGTGCGAAAGAATATTATTCATAATCACCGGTTTTGGGTTTAGATCGCGTTATTTATAAATGTGTCGTAACCCTCCACCACCCGACACGGCCAATCAGTAAAAAAGTGTCACGTTGACAAAAGACAAATAGTTCACTGCTTTAGCCCACCGGTGTGTTGAAGCGTGAAACCACAACATTTACAATTTGAGTACGACGTTTCGCTGGTAATTGCATCCAGCATCATCGGGCAATTCGCCAGAATGGTGAGGCTCTGCTGTGTCTCCCGTTCTTATATAGAGCAGCAGCAGGGTGACGTCATCATTAACTCATTAATTCATCAGGTGCAAAGATTTGAGGGGGGGTTATTGTAATTATATACTAGATTAATAATCAGGCTATTGTTACGATGCGAGTTGTAGATTAGTAATCATTTGGCATGTGTTTTATTGTGATTATGCTACATTAGTAATCAGTTAGTGTTTGTTTCCCTTATAAGGAATTGTAATGTATCTTATTTAATAATACGCTTCCAGGCCGCACTAAGCCTGTAGCTGTCTGAGCGATTAAAGTTATTTCTGTTTCTCTCAATTTCAATGGATTCTCTAATTAGTCTTTGCCAGTAGTAACTAGTTTTACACAATACTTCAACGTTGTCAAAATCAATTGAGTGTCCCTGTTAGCATGCATGTTCTGAAACTGCCGACAGTTGTGTTTGCGATAGTTTAATATTTCTCTGGTGTTCTTTTAGTCTTACACTAACGTTACGCCCTGTCTGTCCAATATAGCATTTGCCACATACACAATTAATCCAATATACACCTTCTGTTGATAATTTAGGTAATTCGTCATTAGTGCACGTTACTAGTTGTTGAATTTTGTGTACTGTACGAAATCTTACTGTAATGTCTTGCTTTTGCAAAACACGGGCTAATTTGTCAGTTACTCCTGAGATAAATGGTATTTTTATTGTTTTGATAATCTGATCGCTTTCTGCAATGTTGCTTTGCGATCGTGATTTGGCATTTAGTGCTCTGTTAATTTGAACATTATTGTAGCCATTCTGTCTTAGTGCTTCTTTAACATGTTTAATCTCTCTCACTAGACTTTCACCATCTGACACTGTTTTAGCCCGATGTATGAGCGTCTTGATAAGAGAGGATTTCTGAGCTGGGTGATGATGTGAATCTGCATTCAGATAGGCATCAGTGTGCGTTTGCTTTCTGTAAACGCTGTGTGTTATTTTACCATTTAGGCCATGCCCAAGTAAAATATCTAGGAACGGGAGTGTGTTATTCACCTCCATTTCCATGGTGAACTGAATGGCCGGGTTTTGTGCATTGAGATGATTTAGAAAATCGTTAAATGTATCTTTACCATGTCGCCAGACAACCAAAGTGTCATCCACATATCTAAACCAAAAGGATGGTTTTAATGTGCTCGAGGCAAGTGCTCTGGTTTCAAAGTTTTCCATGTACAAATTTGCTATAGCAGGAGATAAAAGGAGAGCCCATTGCTGCTCCCTCCCTTTGTTTAAAGAATTCGCCTCTCCATAAGAAGTGTTATTTAAACAATGGTCAGCGAGTTTCGGAATATCTTTTGGTAAACTTGTATTCTTTACCAGTGTATCAAGTAATTTAAGCGACTCGCTCACTGGAACCTTAGTGAATAGCGAAATCACATCAAATCTCACCAAAATATCATTAGGGTTAAGTTTAATATCTTTGATCATATTCACAAGATGTTCTGAATTTCTTATGAATGATGATGTCCTACCGATGTAGGGCTGTATTTGTTTAGTTACATATTTTGCTAATTTATGTGGCAGAGCCAATTGTACTGACTATGGGTCGTAAAGGGATGCCGATTTTATGGATCTTTGGTAGCCCATACAGTCTAGGTGGTTTTGAAGCCCTTGGCTTAATTAGGAATTGCTCATTTTTTTGGATTAATGAATTTGCAATGATTGCAGTAGTCTTACGTTCCAAAGTATTAGTTGGATCTCGTTTAATTTTAATGTAGGTACTTTCCTCTAATAAATCTTTAATTGTATTATCATAATCGGCCTGTGACATCACTACAGTAGTGCGGCCCTTATCAGCTGCTAGGATTTGAATATCTTTATTTAGACGAAGCTCTCTTAAGGCTTTTGCCTCGTTCGAGCTAATATTTACTTTTGGTACTTTACTATTCTAAATTATTTTGGCAACTTCGTGTCTAGTCATCTCTGCCTCATTATGTAGAAGGAGTCTTACTGCTGATTCTACCTCAGCAATGATCTCATCCACTGGAATTGAGCTTGGGGTAACGGCAAAGTTAAGGCCTTTAGAAAGGACAGAAATCATGTCAGTGGTTAAATCAGTGTTAGTCAAGTTCATTACGCATAATCAACGATTTTTGGGTTTAGATCGCGTTTATTTATAGATGTGTCGTAACCCTCCACCACCCGACACGGCCAATCAGTAAAAAATGTGTCACGTTGACAAAGACAAATAGTTCACTGCTTTAGCCCACCGGTGTGTTGAAGCAACAACATTCACAATTTGAGTACGACGTTTCGCTGGTAATTACAACACACCGGTGGGCTAAAGCAGTGAACTATTTGTCTTTGTCAACGTGACACATTTTTTACTGATTGGCCGTGTCGGGTGGTGGAGGGTTACGACACATTTATAAATAAACGCGATCTAAACCCAAAAATCGTTGATTATGAATAACATTGGTCGCGAAAGCCTACGTGTTAAAGTTCATTACGGTTTAGTTTTTAAATTGTTCGTTTTTAATAGGGATTTGTTTATTGTAAAGTCTAGAACATTTGTCAATTTGGTTAGCATTTGTTAGATTAAACACATTATCAGCCGATTGTTGTGTTATAGTGTCGATTATATTCCAATCATGCATGGACACACTATTGCTTATATTTAAATGTAAATGCTTTAGCGTTTCAGAAATGTTGGATAATTCACTCCTATTGTGTTGTATTCTCTCTATTAATAATAATTCGCTAGCTTTGTGTAGTATTTTGTTAGCTTTAGAAGACTTTATGTGATGTGTTATTTTAACTGCGTTTGGTATTACCTTCGAATCTCTGCACCTTTTGAGGAACGCCAATGAAGATATCAATTTCATCCGCTTAATGCGGAGCTTCTCCAATTTTCTGGTTTTAAGAAAAGTATCCTCCCCATAGAGGTTATTCAGTTTAACATGTAGGCTTTCGCGACCAATATTATTCATAATCACCGTTTTTGGGTTTAGATCGCGTTATTTATAAATGTGTCGTAACCCTCCACCACCCGACACGGCCAATCAGTAAAAAAGTGTCACGTTGACAAAAGACAAATAGTTCACTGCTTTAGCCCACCGGTGTGTTGAAGTGTGAAACCACAACATTTACAATTTGAGTACGACGCTTCGCTGGTACTGCAAGGTACTACTTGTCCCTGCTGGGTTTGTGCTGTGAACTGAATTGTTCTGCCTGGGAGATTAACTTCAGCAGGTCAACTTTGGAGTGTGTCGCACATCCCAACTGCAGCTTTGATGAGGGTGGCCTGCCTGCACCCTTGCTCTGTGGTGTACTCCACTACCTCTGCTGAGGCACTGGTAAGAGTTACCTGCCTGCACCTTAGCTCTTTGGTGTCCTGCACTACCCTTTCTGGGGCTCACGTGAGGGCTATCTGTGACCAGCTTTGCTGTGCGTAATTTACACTACACATGTCTCCTGGAGTCTTGGTGCGAGTTACTTGCCTGCAGCCCCCCTCTGTGGTGTTGTGCACCACCTCTGCCGTCTCCTTCCTGTTCAACCCTGCACGCACACACCTCAATTTCTAATGTGCGGCAGTGATGTGGAACGGAAGCTGAACGATTCTGGGTTTGGATGTGGTTCGAGCTCAACCCGATCGGTTCCGGAACCGGTTTCTAGGCAAAAGTGAACCCCACAAGGGCGTTGAAAAGAAAAGGCTTATTTTTCCATTTAGCACGGTTGGCTACGTACACTGCAAAATAAGTTAAATATACATATATTTTTTAAACACATTAGCTATATTTATGGGACTTATGTGCCAGTGTCAAAATGGTGAAAAAATAAGAATACGATTTCCCCTTTCTGGCAATAAAACAGGTGTTAAGATGTTCAAAGACTAAATAGCTACCTTTTTCAAGGCATCAAGTCTGCATTAACCACACATACTTGTGGCAAAACATGCAACCAAACATGCTCTGATCATATATGCATTGTCTTTGAAACTGATTGGCCGACCACCACTGATAACTATGCAGTCTGGATACAGGTGTTTCACTATTTGGCTGTATTATGTGTATATATATCCTTCTTTGCAAAAAAAGGTAGGTATTAATTGACTGAGAATTAGGCGACAGTCAACATGAAGCACCTGAAGCCACAGAGCACTGAAGGAAGCATGCACGTCCTTGGTCTTCCCTGTCTGACTGCAGACTGAGGCCAACTCACCGATCCTGGGAGTGTGGATATTTTTTTGTGGCACTTGCAGGGAACTCGTGGGACCAACATGAAGCCCAACTGGAACTGGGAGCTGTGATGTTTTTGGCGGTCCAGGTTTTGGGTTCAGTTCCTCTAAAATATATCATTTCTGGCAGTACCTGCTTTGGTTCCATGTGTAGTGACATAAGAAGGGAGGGGCTGCTGGGGGCTCTGGGACCCTGGGCGGGCCAGGCGCTTAAGCCTCTTGGCGCCAGGCGCTGGGTTCCCAGGCGGGTCAGACGCTTAAGCCGCTTGGCGCCAGGCGTTGGGTTCCCGGGTGGCCCAGGCGCTTAAGCCGCTTGGCACCACCAACGGGGGGGGGGCTGTGTGTGCTCTGTGGGATATCTGGGGGCGCACACGGCCCCACCCCTCGTTGGGGACTAGGCATAAAAGGGGAGCTCCCTGGACGATCAGGGCCAGTCGTAGCTCAAGATCCAAGACCCAAGACCAGCCATCTGAGGACCCTGGGACGCTGTAAGAGCCAGTGGTGGGACTCTGGA